CTCGTCTCGTGTCGAACAGTACGGAGTTGTGGGTTCGAGTCCCGCTCCGGGCCGATTTTTTCTCCCAGCGGTTCCAAATTATTTAAATTAATTAATATATTTATAATTATTAATTTTAATAAGAGATGGCGCCTAACGCTTACCTCTAGTGCCAAATTAATTACGTAATTTATTTAGAATGTAGCATTAAAATAGCCCGATTAATTTACGGCATTCGGTTGGTGTCTTACTATATTGGATATCGGGTTTGGAGATGTTTATTTATATGCCCAAATACCTTTAAATAAAGGAAAAGTACGTCTTTTATGAAGGCATAGAGCCTTAACTACATGAAAATGAAAATTAATGAATACACTCTACAGTAATTTACCTGATAAGACAGACCTCAGAAAAATACTTTATGAGGCATAAAGCTGTCTATAATGAAAATTAATTAACTAAGGATTTTTTTGCCCTGCCAGGGTGTGGCCGAGTTATCCGGACTGCCGAGTTATCGAGTGCTGAGTTTGAGACTCTACTGTAACACGTACCAAAAAAAATTAATTCAAATAAATATTTTTTACTTAAATTACATAGAACAGTGTTTTAAAAGTGTTTTCTAATCAAAAGATACATGTAATTGGTATTTTCCATTCAACTGGATCATTTGAATCTATGTGGCTCTAAGAATATTACATTCAGTTCCTCCAACATTGTACTCTTCTTATGCAATAGTGCACACAGGTAACATTTCTTATGACCTATTTCAGAGTTCAGTTTAGTATTTTGGACCAAGGAAAAAAGTTGAAATTACATATTTTGTCATTACCTACAACTTTGAAACAGAACATCAATGTCAATTACAAAAAGAAAGAAGGATGGATGGTGACATCATCTAGTACATTATATATCATACCTTAATATATCATACATTGGAAAAATGTTCAAAATATGTTGCATTATTTGTTTTTGAAATAATCAACTGGGAAAAGGCTTGGTACCAATTGTCAAAGCCTTCAATTACCTGCTTCAATGATAAAATCATTTCCTTACACATGTTACATGTACACTGATTTATGGTTAGTGGTAGAAATTTCTGATCAGTCTCTCAATTTAATTCTGAAATTGTTTAATTTTTCATTAAAAATGAAGCTATAAAAAAATCATGAGACAAACTGAAAAAATATACTAATTTTGTGAATAATGAATTAAAATGAAAGCTGTAACATACTTATGTGATATATTTGGTAAATTGAACTCATTAAACATACACTTCCAAGGAAACAATATAGTAAGTATTCAACCCCATAATAAAATTTTTTTCTTCAAAGAAAGAATTACTACTTGAAAACAGAATTGAATGTAAAAATTCAATTCAGTTTCACTTTATAATACTGTATAAACTTTGAACTTACTTAACAATATTCTTGTTGGATGGTTATGTACAAGATTTTAAATTCAAAATTCAAATTATCATATCAAATTATTTTGGATCTAAAAAATGAGCATACTATGAGTATACTAATTCAAAATACATTTATACCGACTTCCAAAAAATGGTTTAAAATGTAAGGATGTTTTAAAGAAAAGTTTGTTCTATTAAATATTTTTTGTTCTATCATTCCATCATTAAATTTCTTCAAAAAATTCAATAATTTTAATACTGTTTCTTTACAAATTAATCAATACATAATTTTAAAATATACAAATTATTCAAAAGATATTTTTCTCTTATGATATATTTATTTACTATAAAAATTTCAGGTATTTTGTATGTATAAAATCACTATTACAATCTTAGTTGAAGATATATAAATAAACACTCCTTTTAAGCTGGCAGACAAAAGTTAGCAGAATGAATTGGAACCAAATTGAAAATTAAGTGCTAATTGTGTGCTATTTAATAATCAAGCACTCAATTTAAAAACTGAGTGCTTGATTATTTTTTAAACTATTATATATTTTGATAGCTTAAATATCAAATAAATGTTAGCACACAGTCAAACAAATAATGAGCAAAATACATAATTAGTATTGAACAAATTTGTGATTAAGTAAGTGCTAATTGAGTGCTTCAAAAACTTAAAATTTTTATACATTTTGTACAAAATAATTTATAATGTAAAATGATCACTCATATTTTATATAGTATTCCACTAGTACCATACATAAGAGTGAAATATAATGAAAATTAAGTTGAAAATGAAAAGAAAAAAATGAAAAAATTTAAACAAATCAATATTTACTACAAAATCTATCAATATTTCCTGAATCTAGTTTACATAGACCAGTGGTTCTCAAACTGTGGCACACAGAAGGAATGCTGGGTTATGGGAGCTCAAAGTGGTTAAGACCAAATATGGACAAACAAAGTTGAACTTGACTTATAATTGAAATTGTCTCAAACTTAACCTATTATCAATAAATGTTTTACCACATCAAGCCTAATTGCTCCCACTGAATATACCATAGGCAGACATGTAACAACTGTGACCATTTTGTTGAAGTAACAGCTTTGTACAGTACTGTACATTATTCCAATTAAAAAATAACTGATAGTAATATACATATTAAAAATATATTGAGGATTATAAAAATATGTCTTCACAAATCCGTAATTTAACAATTACTAGTGACAAGCCAAACACAATCTTCACTTACAGAGATGTTCTTTTATTTGAGGCTATGCCTTTGTAAAAAAAAATGCAAATTTGTTAATAAATGTATTTGTGAAGACAAATATTTTTGTATTCTTCAATATTTTTGAAATTAGAGTTGCACTGTATTATGTGCATGACAGTATAGAAATAAATTAGGGAAATAATGTATAGTTATGGAAATTAATTTTATTCACTTTAGGCACTTTTACACAAGTGTATCAGATTATCATTTCTCTTCAGTGATAATACAAGATGCATGTGTAGAACACTACAGTCTACTTGGGAATTTGTATTTGTGTTTAAGGGATATGTGGTCAAAAGTTTGAGAACCATTACTACAGAACAGAAGTCATAAAATAATTTCTCAATTTCAACCAATAAATATGTTTTTACAATAAAATTGTCATCAAACAATTGCAAATTTAATAACAGTTGGAATGGCATTGAGCTGTCGGAAGGTATATATACAGAATAAAAAAAAAGTAAATAAGAACTTGATTTTTTAGATACAGTACTAAAATGACATTTAAACAACTTTAAAAGTACTACTTCAAAAATAACTTTATATTTCACCCTTTTACACCTGATACCAGTGGAATACTATATAAAATATGAATAATCATTTTACATTTCACTAATTTTATATAAAAATTGTAAATTTTTTGAAGTATTGTACAGACGTGTGTATAATATATATAATTTTTTTCTTTTGACAAAGCATCGAAAGTGTACATTGATAGCATGCTAAATAAAAATTCTAAATGAAACTTTCGAGTGAAAGATTATATCCATACCCGCATCAAACTTGGAATATGCTTCTAACGAAATGTCGTTGGTGGTCTGCATACATAAACATGGAATGTATCCGAGATTCTCTGACATCTTCTGTTTTATTGATACAGAAATCGTGAGAAGACGTAAAATATAAACATTTTAGTACAAACTGCTATATTCTTATAAAATATTAAAATAAAAATACAACAAAAAATATNGGACTTGAAACAGCAGCAAGAACAGCACCCTTGGAAAATGATAAATATTAATAAAATGGGATTAATTAAATTTTAAAATTAAATTATAGTTTCTACTTTAGTCAAGAGATGGCACCTAATGTCTACCTCTAGTAGCAAATTACTTACTATTAATTATTAAAATAGAAGTTTGTTGATCTAGTACTTGATAAATAATATATTAAATAGACTTGTTATCAATAGCTTTTCTTTTTTTAACATTTAAAACTTTATTAGCACTTGATAAACTGAAATGTTCAGCAATCTGACATCAGAATGTCCCAGTAATCTGAAAAGTAGCCAATTTGGAATTGTCCATTAATAATCTTCCATACTAAAATTCAATAAATCAAAATTTATTTGAACACACAGTATGCTAAAGACCTCTGATAGAAACTGAAACAAAATTGAAGATGCAGCTGTGCATATTGTTACACATTAGAAGATCAACCATGAAAAAAGAGTAATGTGATTTCAAAAATTACTCATTTTGTTTCATTATCTTGTTTATGTCAAATTGGATGCATTTAATGGTTCTTCCCTGTACATAATACACATTTACACCACAACTGCCAAACAAGCAGATTTTATGCAATAATATGTTCACTGACATTTTTGCAAGTTATTCAATCTTAACACAGCATAGTCATGTACTGTATCATTTTCAAATCAAGTATAGAGCATGTGCAATAAATCTTACATATATGACAGCATAAATGGATACAAAATGTGCAGCAATGTCTACAACATTCATTGCATGTAACTTATTGAATTCTGCAAAAAATACAAAAATTTCCAGTAATCTGGCATTTTTGATAATCTGGAATCACTCTGGTACCATAGGTACTTGATTAACAAACTTCTACTGTATCGAATTATTATTCAAAAGTATTTATTATAAAAAAACAGCATGCTGTCTAATATTTTTCAATTTGCTGATGCACTGTTTATTAGAGAGCACTTACTTTTAAAGGGTGATGTTTACTAGAATAATTATAAGTTATTCAGTTAAATAAAGAAACTACTTACATCTAATAAGGCATGCAGGTGAGTGTCTTCTAAAACAGCTAACAGGAAATCTCTATCATGTTCAGAACCATCTGTGAGACAATGGATATCATCTAAACTGTCCAGGACCATTGACACCGCTCCTTTGTGAAACAGAATATACTACTCACTTATAAATTTCTCTGAATTATTATTATTATTATTTTTTAATATAATTAAACATTAAATAATCAACTAAACATTCTAATTTTTAGATTTCTATTTAAGAAATTTTTTAAAACATACACAAAGTTTTATCAATAACCAGTACAAGATATTGCTAAAATATCTTGTACTGGTTACATCCAAAGCTTGTGAATCAGATAAAGTTAGGATTACCTGCCAAATGCTACCTCAAAGTTTTTTCGTTAAACTAAGTAATAATTTTTTAACTGTTTATGGCAAACACTTCGTTTATAGAACATGGACATAACACAGCAAAAGAAATGTAAAAAACTAAACTATGATTAAAAATAATAAGATTAAACACTAACAATAAAATAATTAGCACTATTTGGTTTGAACAGTCCAATACAGGAAGTTCCAAATTCAATAAAAATGTTTTCTACGTAATCAAAAATTCACAATATATTTTTTCTCATTCTAAATACAAAAGTTTATTATGTTACTTATCAAATTTCAAGACTGACAAGTATCAAGACTATGTAAGTTGAAAATAAATCCTCTGAATTCAAAACATAGATTTTCAAATACAGATTATCCATGTTGGGTTGCATGGATTAAGAGATCAATCAGATTAATCAATTGTAACTTTACACTTTTATATGCATATAATAAACTCAATCCTAAAACTTAATTACCAAATTGCTTATATTATTATTTCTACACAAATTCAATGTGAAATCTAAACATAAATGTATTCAAATTGTAAAGTTTAATAATTTTATCTCCGCATTAATTAATAATAAAATAAACATATTACAAACAAACAAAAATGTACTTCTCTCATTTTTAAATTCTATGATTAACAGAATCATGTACTGTTTTACATAACAATGTCTTATTATTATTTATAAAGAAGAAAAAAATTATAATCTAGTTAATATGGTGAAGTAGCCAAAGCTCTAACAATGCCTGAGGAAAGTAATGAAGATGTTTTCATAAAATAATAAAGGCATATATAGTACTGTATAAGTAATAGAGGTATAACCAGTGATAAAAAAATATTCTTTATACAGTAGAACCTCTATATTCATCATTAATCTGTTCCTAAGGATCTAACAAATATGGAAAATGATGAATATAGAAACAATTTTTCTCATAATAAATAACTGATATTCAATTAATCTGTTCCCATCCTAAAAAAAAGATAAAAGAATAAAAATTTTGTTGTTTGTAAACTTTATCTTTATTGTACTAAATAAATACAGTATAGTGTTAGAAGGGGAAGAAGAGTAAGATTATTATTGTTTAGAGGAAGACATTCCACCAAATAAAACATTAGATCAGTGATTCTCAAACTTTTTCGATCCACCGCCCCCTTTGTTCCATAAAGTTATACCCAACGCCCCCTAACCCATTTTCTCTTGTGTGAGAAAAGGATTGAAAATATTCTTCGGAAAACTTTTCTATGAATCTCACACTTTGTGCCCTTACTGTACATTGTTCTCATCATCTGGAAACCATTAAACGCAATGTTTCCTCTTATCAGCCCCAATTTTGCCGTTGGTCACCGTTCAATACCCTGCCTCTATCATAGATCTATTCATCACGCCAGAAGGGGGCGTTATTGCTTACTTTGAGAAACGCTGAGCTAAAATAAAAGTCAATGTGTTAGAAATATTCAAGTTGTGATCTTCAATAAAAAATAAAAAATATATAAAATGTAAATATTTTATATATATTCCGTCGAATTTTTATATACAGAATTTGTCTGCCGTCGCCCCTCTATATTTCCTTAACGCCCCCCAATTCTCTATGAGCCTTCTACTGCCCCCTGACAGCCTCCAGCGCCCACAAGGGGGCGTTATCGCCCACTTTGAGAAACGCTGCATTAGATAATTCCAATTATGATCTTGGCATATTAAATTCTTTAGCTAAGTTGGAAACACTAGAGAGGTTGCGGCCAAAGTTTTCATCTCTAAAACGTGAACATCAAACATTGAGTTCCGCCATCTTGTAAGCCTAGAAGTTTGATAATGTCATTTGGAATGTCAATCATTATTCCAATGACATTCTGAATGCCATTGTCAAACTTCTAGGCTTACAAGATGGCGACGCTCAATGTTTGACATTCACGTTTTAGAGATGAAAACTTCAGCCACAACCTCTCTACTTTGTCCATTTTCAGACTTAGAAATAATTTTTTTTTATCTCTATTGCTGTTCTAACAGCTTTCCTTTTTTGCTGTTTTCTGCAGTGCACTTTGTTGGAGCCATTTGGAACTTGAGTTTTTTAAAATAATCAATGTGAGAAACTAAGAACACACACCATGACTGCACAAAGCAGACTGATTAACTACAACTAGCTTACATAGTGTTGCCAATTCAAAATTCAAATTTATAGCTAGACATTTTAATAAAATATTCAAATCATATTGTTTCCATTAAAATTGGTTGAGTTTTTGTAGCTAGATAGCATTATAAAAATAGCTAGGCAATTATAATTTAGGTAATTTGCATAGCTAGATTATTCATAAATCCACTAAATCTAGCAAAAAATTAGCTAAATTGGCAATGCTAAGCTAACACAGCTAGCTGATCAGTGCAAGCGTGCGATAGTAGTGCTACTGCTGGTGTTGGGAATGACAAATATGGGGAATATACTGATGAATATGGGGGGGAAAAGTCATCAAAATGTGACCAATATAGAATATTACAAATATAGACGTTCCACTGTATATATATTTTACTAAAACTCAATAAATTAAAACTCAATAAATTTCAAAATTTTGTATTTTATTACTTTAAAACGTTCTTAAGTCTACGTAAAATATTAAAATTTTCAATAATTTCACATATATTTGTCTAAGTAATTACAAAAATAAAAGTCTACCCACCTGTCGAAGTAACATCATCATCTACATTGAAGTCTGCAGTACCATCTAAAGAAGGATCATTATAAAATCCAGTCCATTTTGGACTTGAAACAGCAGCAAGAACAGCACCCTTGGAAAATGATAAATATTAATAAAATGGGATTAATTAAATTTTAAAATTAAATTATAGTTTCTACTTTAGTCAAGAGATGGCACCTAATGTCTACCTATAGTTGTTCATATCAGTTAATTTCTAATTATAATATTTGTAGGTTTTCTGCCCAATTATTTCGGTTGTTGGTTGGTTGTTTATTAATATACAACAGGTTATTGGGATGTTGATGTATGTATAAATATATAAATTGATTTGTCAAATCAAAATCTGTTCTGTATGTAAAACTGAAGAGAGTCAAAGTAAGCCTAAAATATTTTTATAAATAAAAGTTGTTGGTAACCTTAACAAGAAGTTTTGAAAACTTATTTTTATAACCTTACCCTCCTTAAATTGTCCTAGCTTAGGCATATTTGTAATTATGAAAACTTAACTGCATACTAATTTACTAGCTTTACAAAGACAAAAAAAGGTTATGAAGGAATAATAGATAAAAGGTTATGATAGAATAATTTTAAACTTGAAAAAATTAAATGTGAAATTATTTTAAGTTTTTTCTAGATTATCTCTATTCTAGATATTCTAGGTTATAATGAAATTCCAGAAACTTTTTGAACACCCATCTTTAAAACACTTATTTCAAATATTTGATTTTGCAGTACTTAACTATTTTTCAATAAATTATTTATAAATTCTATATAAAATAATGCTATCAAACACACCAGACATCACTCAAGTAACATTTTTGGAATAATCTTCATTCCATAAACTTATGTCATCTCTAATTAAATTACATAAAAGATCACAGAATTGATATTTTGAGACTATCAAATGTGATATTTTTCATTATGGATTTTTTTATACTATCCAATGAATTTATAGTTCACATTTTCAGGCATTACCACATTTACAATAATGAAAAATATGGAAATATTTTCAAATTAAATTATTGAATATAAAAATTTATTGGTAAAGTAGTTTTTATTTCTTAAGGGTTTTGAAATCATTTGTATATTTATTTTTGTCATTAACAAATATTATTAAGTATTTACTACATTCACATTTTTATTAATGTTAATTATAAAATTTTATACTAAATTAATAATTTATACCATAAAGAGCAAATAATTTTTATTACTTCAAAACATTTTCAATAATAAAAGCTATGTTATTAAAATTTACTGAATTTCTAAAAAATAAAAAGTAAAGACTTCCTAACCAACCTATTTTCATTACTATCTTAAAATATATGTACATAACTTTGAATAAAAAATACTTGATTTACTCTTCTATCTCACTAACAAAAACTATATTTTAGATTTAAACCAGTGTTTCTCAACGGGGGCAATATCACCCCCATGTGGGCATTTTTCCATGTTGAGGGGGCGATTAGTAACAATTTATATTTTGGGGAGCGACAAACAATTTTCTAGACATTATATTACGAATAAGTATATTAAGAATAATTAGATATTTTATTCGTTATATGGTACAATAATTAAACAAATAACATTATACTAGTCACTAGTCTATTCAATGCAGTACAAATTTGGCGTTAGCCTTGGCCCTTGGCATCAGAATTTTGAAGTGAAGGGGGCGATACTACAAACTGTTTTATTGAAGGGGCGATACTACGTAACGGTTTCATTGAAAAGGGCGATACTAAGTAATGGTTTTATTGAAGGAGCGATACTACATTGAAGGGGGCGACGATTCATTAGAGGTTGAAAAACACTGATTTAAACCATGTATTGAGGTATATTTACATATTTCATCAACTAGTACTTCACTTACCAAATATCAAACCATCAAAATCACTGGTTAACAAATATTACTTATATTCAGAAAATTTAATTGTTCAATAATAATTTAAAAAAAAAATTTTTTTTAGATTTTTCATGAAATTAAATATATATATTAAAATGTTTAAAATTTTTAGACTTCATACCTTTAATTTTCGTCTTGTATTAAATTTTCTCATTTCTTCTACAGCTTCATTTAAATGAGTTTTAGGAGCACAAATCTCTCTTTCCTGTAAGTATTAATAAGTTACTATAATTATTGATTTCAATAAATTAAAAATTGTTTTAACCATTTACTTCCTGATCACACATTAATTAATTTTAAAACACGCTAAGCTATAATAATCTAATAATATTCTAATAATATAAGCCATTGATCACGTGCCCGTATATCTATAATGGTATGCCTAGAATGGCCACTAGGGGCATCCCTAGCTATTATTTAAATTAACAATAAATTCAGTCTTTTGCGTAACAATATTAAAATAAGAAAAAATGTGGTTTTTTTGTTTTTGACTGTGGTTTAGTGGGGTATGCCATGAGAATGCACATTAAGAAGAGATTTTTTTAAAATTTCCCACACGAATGAGAGGGTCAAGGATTACCCTGAAGAACTCAAATTCTACTGTACTATTTTAGATGCAGTTTTTTGCATTTTTGACTGTGTTTTAGTAGGGAACGCCATGAGAAATTCAGCATATTATTTTTATTTGTAAAATGAATTTATTATTTATATCATGGAATGACATTGCTGCTGCTAGAATGCCCTTCCCACGGGAGAGTAAACCTAACCCCCCACTAGGGGGGGATAAATTCTCCAAAAGGAGGAATTCCCCCCATGGGATAGGGAAAACATTTCTTATTGATATGAATTTATTATTTATACCATGGAATCACACTGCAGCTGCAAGAACACCCACTAGGGGTGGCCCGGGCTACTAGTCATATTATATTAAATTACAGTATATCATATCTGTAGGACCTTCTATTTGGAATCTGAATGATAATTTGCAATGCATTCACACTATGAATTCTTATATGAAAATTATAAATACAAATCAAATTAAAGGACAATGTTTTATCAGATAAAAATTTAATTCAAATTCATTATTAATGTTATTAATAAGTAATATATGCCAACAGATAAATCAAATTCATTAATCCTTGGTTAAAATTAGATTAGTTTAATTAATGCATTTTTGGTATAATTATTAAAATTTGATAATTAAATCTGTTTTTTGCTGATGTAATAATCCCAATTTAAAGATTATATTCGTGCTTTTGAACATTGTCAATGATAAGCCAAAAAACCATTTCCATATTTAAGAACATAACAAGTATAACCTCTTAACCCCTCAGTCTCCATTGACGTATACATACGTCAAGCCTACATAGCGTTACGAAAAATGTGGTCCTTAAGGCCATTTTTGAAAAAAAAAATTTTTTTTTTGAATTTTTGTTTTTTAGGTCCCCAAATTTTTTCAAAATTTTTTTCCCGCGCAAAAAAATTTTATCGCGATTTTAATGAGCCTATGTGAAGGCTCGATTAAGGCTTAATTGTTTTTTAATGGGAGTTTTTTATCAATTTTATTTCATGGTTCCTAAGTTGTAGCGCACGGATTTTCATTCGGTAAAGTTATTTAAAGTTAGTTTCTGATGTCAAAAACGACCTCCAATGGTTTTTTAATTTTTTTAATTAATATATTTTTTTAAATATAAAATTAATTAATTAGGGGGGTCGGAAATCGCAATAAAAGTTTGAATTTTTTAAAAATATTTAAAAATTTCCGTGTCGCTTATAGTCACCCTACTTTAAACCCTTGTCCTCCCGAGACGTCTATGAGAATGTCCCGGGAAATCCGACTCCAGCTGTGTTCAAGGTCACCCAGCTGTGTAAACAATGACTCCTCAGTGTTAAATTTCACAGAAAGGCAAAACAAAGGAAAATAAAATTTGAAGGTTTTTCTTCAAAATTAACGCATTTCTTTCGTTTTTTTCAGTTTTAAGTATTTTTAATGTATTTTAATATTAATCTCATATCAATTTAATTAATGATCGGGAATGAAGGGATTAAGGTTATACTTGTTATGTTCTTAAATATGGAAATGGTTTATGTTCTTAAATATGGATTTTACATAACAAGTATAACCTCTTAAGGTTATACTTGTTATGTAAAATCAAGAATCATAGCTAGAGTGTCATGACAGTGACTCTACACAATATAAAAAGTCACTAACTGACTATACTATGTATACAGAAATCACAGTTGCCAATTTTCAAGGACAATTTCTCTGTCCCAAACACTTAAAGTAATTCTGAATATCTTGTTTGAAAGATAACTGTTTTCTTAGGTAGTGTGCAAAATTTTCAAGTTTTTCTATAAATGGGTTGCTGAAATATAAGCAATCGTAAAGTGCAAAAGTCACTAAAAAAGTTGTATTTTCTTCTTCACCTAGTACTACAGATGCTCCTAGAGAAAAAACTACTGGATGTATAAAGCTCAAATTTTAAACTTTAAGTCCCTCTCATTATAAGTAATGCTCTCAAAACTTCCAGGCCAATAGCTCAAAGTTCTCCAATAGAGCTATTTTACTTTTATTGCTTAATTTTATGCTTATTAAGTATAAAGTTGCATTGAAACAAATGATTTGTATTCAAAATGTTATCCAGAACAGCAAAAGCTCAAACTTATGCAAATTAAAACTCTCTATAATGATTTTACTAAACTGGGTATTAAAAGCAATCAGTCAGCAGCTGTCATTGAGTGTCAAAAAACTATACATCATCTTAAGGTCTTGTAGATTCTGTCTTAGATCTTGACACTAGGACCAATGAGAAAGTGGATAATGAAGTAAAATTCACAGGGGTCCAGACATCTCACAATTTGTATTTTACACACTAATTACTACTAAAGCCCTATTGTAATATAAAATGCTTAACAATAATATTGTTCTTTATAAAGAATCACACCTAAATGCAAAATTTCCAGCAAAGAAACACCCAAATTCAATATTTGAATGTTTTTGGCCACTACTTTATTGGCCTTCTTCAGAAAATGTAAAACAAGAAAAACTGTTCTGTTTATAGAATGTAGTCGCATTCTAATTTTAAAAGTTTCAAAAAAGTTTGAATAAAGGCTGTGACATATCGTATGTGATGTATAGAGTCTAAATAGTATTTCCATGCATTTGGTACTGTACATAAATAGCATCAGTGTTGATGCAGGCTCCACTTCTGTCTGCCCTGTAGATCTCTATAGCTTCCAATGCTCTAATGCAGGGATCACTAAATTATAGCCCACAAGGTCAGTCATCTGGCCCGCTGCTGCAGTGCACCACAAATGAGGTAAAATATAATTATTTATAAGGAAATATCACAGTTTGTAAATAAACTTACTATAAACAAACTTCATCAACTAACCCGTTATACATTAAAGCAATTTAAAGCAATACACCAACCAAAGCCAAATTATTGGGCTAGAACCAGCTATCTTATAAATTATTATCTGCAAGGACCCGCTTTGCTGGGTTTTTATTTGCGGGCAAAAAGTAACGATAGTGAAGATTAAGATAATTACATTATAACCAATCTTACCTGTTTTCACAAAATGCAAGAATTAGGTCCCCTGTTTCCAGACTAATTAGAGAATTTTTACGTCCAGTCAAACAAACTATTTTCAATTTGATCAATTTTCTGGAACGTTTACAATCATTCTATAATTGAACCAATTCGAATTCGAAAATTTTTAAAATCGAAATAGAAAATCTTCCACTTTCAACCACTTTCAAGCCCATATCTCCCGCACCCTTAAAGCTATCAAGACGCAACCACCATAGTGCACGAATGGAGACTTGGGGCTACTACCACATACAAACACCATTCATGTGCGATGTGTAGTTTTGGCTGAAAAGTGAAATATAGGGACACACACGTCCATATATATATATATATTATTAGTTTAGCCGGTTCTAGCCCAATAATTCGGCTTTGGTTGGTGTATTGCTTTAAACTTACTATGTAGAAAAAATTAAAATAAGTGTAAGTAAAAATGCCTGAAGTGGTCCAATCTGCTTTTTGTATCTGACAGTAATATAAATTTTAGGAAAATCAATGAAATAAAAAATTTGGCGATTTTTTTGCTACTTTGGATCAGAGCGCATTTTGTGTAAGTACCTGCAATGAAGTTTCTAACAAAGTGATTATGAGCTTGCTACAGCAACCGTGTTTTTGTATTGGTAAATAAATATATCGATTGTTTTTATTTTTTGTGTATTGTATTGAACAAAATGGTTATGCAAACCACACATGTCATTCTCTCAGTTATCTGATCCACTGTGAAAAAAATTTAGTGACCCTTGCTCTAATGTTTTGATGGTCAAAGACCATGGCTATTAGGGTAGCCTGGTCCCAACAGGGGGAAATCCCTGAAATTCTGGCATTATGTGCCAGAGCTGTATTAATGTTTTCTTTTTGTACATCATATTTGTGATCTCTTAACCCGGCTTGCAGCAATCTGTACATCCAGGGATTTCCCTGTTGGGACCAAGCTACCCTAATACCCAGAGTCTTCAACCAGCAAAACATTAGAGCAGTGATTCTCAACCTTTTTTTCATCACAGTACACTTCGAATAATTTAAAAATTTGGCACACGCAGTTACTTTGGTAAGTACCACAGGACAACCAGTGACGTTATAACAGTGATTTTTAAACACAGGTCATGATTTTTAAACACCTTGGTAACTACCAGCAGTTATCGGTAACACCGATTACAATTTCCAAACACGCTCTAGGAAGGTAGAACTAATTGAACTACTTGTATGACGTCGCTTATGTATGAGTATTTGCAGTGGCAGCACACTTCAAAAATCTCACAGCAAACTAAAGTGCCGCAGCACAGTGGTTGAGAATCACTGCATTAGAGCATTGGAAGCAATAGAGATCTCCAGGGCAGACAGAAGTGGAACCTGCATCAATACTGATGCCATTCATGTACCAAATGCATGGAAATACAATTTAGACTCCTAAAATATACATTACATACGATATGTCACAACCTTTATTCAAACTTTTTTGAAACTTAAAATTAGAATGCGACTACATTCTATACACAACAGTTTTTCCAGTTTTACATTTTCTGAAGAAGACCGATAAAGTAGTGGCCAAAAACATTCAAATATTGAATTTGGGTGTTTCTTTGCTGGAAATTTTGCATTTAGGTGTGGATTCTCTACATCTACAGTTCCAGGTTTCTGGTAAAGTGGTTGTTTATTATTGTTCTTTATTTTGTAAAAAAAGGTAATATAGCCATAAAAAATAAATAAATAAATAAAATAAGTGAACTCAAAATCAATTTTCAAATAATTTATTTACTATAATTTTAATTCAAGGATTTTAATTCAAGTAGATTATGACAATTTAGATGACAAATTTTTTTTTCTTTTCTTAGTTTTTCTTGGGTGAAGATAAGCATGGCACTTTATTGCAAAATGTAGAAAACAATAATACAAGTAAAAATCTTGCGGGTGTCACTTCAAAGCTCATCTTTACCAAAGAAAAACTTCTAAGGAAAAAATTTGTCATCTAAATTGTCATAATCTTTTACTTTTTTACACCTCAGATATCACCACAATCATCATGATCAATATTCAAATTATATATCTGAATATCAAAAAATTCACTATAAAAACAAAATTTTATAAATGTATTATATTCATAGTTTTCTTAATAACTAAATAGCACAATAAAATTAAATTTAGCAAAAATATAGAAGAATGGAAACTTAATAAAACAATATTGTTCAATAAAAAAACAAGCAATGATCTATTAATAATCAATCAATTATTGTAAAATACATAAAGTTGTGTAACTGATTGACCATCATAGCAAGAAAAGCAAAATAAACAGAATTTGCTTAATGAATTAAAATTTATATAAATTTCATGAATAAATTATTATAATACAATAAAAACTTACTGAAAAAGATTTTTAATATCTGACTACTGATAAATAATCATGTTTTTTATTTTTTGATGGTTTCTAATATTTTTTCAATAAACTTTTCCTCTTATGATACCAAGTTGATTTGCCATTCATATTCCAGACATAAATGAGCCACTTTAGTAGTATATTTACTATAAAAACATTTGTATCTGGCAATCAAAACAGCAAACTATTATCACATTATAAACTTCTTTATAGTTTAAAAAAAAAAAAAGGACTGGATTGGAATAAAGACACTTGTGTGTATTGTCTTGAAGAATCTGTTTAAAGATTTTTTGTTCTTTATAATTTGTTCTATTATGTCCAATCAATGTATCATTCTCATTCCCAATGCCCACTAATCAGTTATAATAACTATTTACTATGAGAACAGTCATATCTGGTAAAACATGACAGAAAACACTATACAAGTTATCTCATAGATGGCACCTGTTGTTCAATTAACAACTATGAGATAATTCATAGTTGGCAGTCAACATGTTAAATGACTTATCAAACTATTAATTCTAAGTTTATTTCCGAAAATAAAAAATAAATAAATACAAAAGTTTATTATAAAAATTTTAAAAAATACAGAATAAATTATGTAAAACTTATAAAAAACTTTCCAGAATTAAAGTAAATTTTATCATTTCTCTAATATTCATAATTTGTATTAATTATAAATTATATTTACCCTTAACCAAGGATGTTCAAGTGCTTCCTCAATAGTAATTCTTTCAGCAGGATCAACAAGAAGCATCTTTTTAACAAGATCTCGAGCATGATCACTAATATGATCCCATTGTCTTCCAACCATCTTTAAAAAAAAATTTTTCAATTAGTATTTATTACAAATGTATTGATAACATTTCTTATTCATGAGTTTTTTAAAAAGACCAGTTTTTTAAAATGAATATGTTTTAAAATCTTATTTTCCATTCTGTTTATTAAAATTTTGAAATTAAATATCACATTACCATAGATAGATTAAATTTGTTTTTTCAGTCACATTTATAAATTTTTAAGAAACAATAGACATTTAACAAGTAATACAAACCAAACTACACAGGAATTAATTTAATATATATTTTTAAATCATCATCTTATTTAATGTATGAAATTTAATGTACATATTTTATTTAATTGAACTTTTTAAAAACCTCACAAAACTATTTTAGTATTTTATTTAGCTTATAATAATTGAAACAAAAAATATCTATTTATTATAATTTCCAATTCAACTCAGTAAAACTTGTGTAAACTGGAATTGCACTGTAATGAATTATTTTTTCTATTTTGGCAGGTTTTTATTTGAATAGGTTTTAGTGTATTTTAAAACCAAATAATTGTCAAATTATATCAGGCTATATTACTACTACAGTAGACCCCCCTATAATTATGGTCCCTATAATTACGATTCCTATAAAACTGCGAAAAAATTGTGATGGTATCTGTAAAAAAAGGTAAAAAAACTTCTATAATTACGTGAAACGTCATCGGGCAGCCGAACTATTTTCCACCGTCAAGTGCCACGCTACAGAGAAATTACTATCGTCTGTACAGTATTATATATAAATTAGGTACTGTACATATAATTATATATTAATTATATTTATTGTAACTTTATTATAATTATATATATTTTTTCCGCCGTGTGGCGCCACACTACGGAGATTTTACGCTAACTATCATCTGTACAGTATGTAAATTAGGTACCATAAGTCTAATACAGTACTGTAATTTTATACATTTCTTGTGAAAGAAACATTTCTTATTCAACTGCGATTAAAATTATTTATATTAATGATGTCTCCAAAGTTCAAGGAACTATTCGTAGAAAAATAAGTTATTAGAAATCGGCCGCGGTTTGCTGAGCTGTTCCGCGACGAAAACAATGTTGAGCAATGGCGATGTCGAATAGTGACACTCGGTAAGTAATCCTACAATTTTTTATTTATAGCGTAGTTTATACGGATTATTTCCAAAAAAAATATACGTATTTTGGAAATGTTGAGTCGGATTAGTCTAGAATCGATTAATTTTATGGAAGAAAACCTTTCAATCAGCCGTAGTCCGTAAACTTCACACGTGTCGGGCTGTGATTGGAAGGACTCGTAAGAAATCGGATTCCTAAAGAATGGAACGTATCTATGATCTTATAGGGGGGTCGACTTGTACTATTATTAATTAATGCTAAATAATTTAGCACTAGAGGCAGGCATCAAGCACCATTTCCTGCTAAAATTTAATAATTACAATTAAATTAATATTTTAATAATTAATTTAGAAGATTCTGGAAGAAAACAATCAGTTCAAAAGCAGAACCTGAACCTGCAACTCCTACTTGCTGTGCTTTTCTTCCAGAACCTTCTAAATTAATTATTAAAATATTAATTTAATTATAATTATTAAATTTAGCAAAAAATGGCATCTAACGTCTGCCTCTAGTGCCAAGTTACTTAGCATTTAATTAATAATAGTAGTAATAATATTGTCTAATGTAATCTGGCAATTGTCTGGCCTTAATATACAATAATCAAATGTAAGATGTTTATATTTAGTATATTTTTTTTAGTCTTTAAACTAAACCAGCTAAATGTCACTCTAAACCAGATAATTGTTATTCTCTGCAATGATCATTATACTTGAAGGCAATTTTTGTTGAATTAACACCTTAAAATGATCTATAATAATAAATACAGTTGTAGTCAAATTTATTTTGAATTTTTACAAAAAGTCAACTAATATACCGGCAATGAATTAATTTAGTGGTACTGACACTGATTACAAATTTGAAAATTTATTAATCAAAATTTAGTAAACAGAAATTTGAAAAATATTTAAAAATTTCTCATATTAATATAGAAAAATTATAAAATTCAAACAAATTTTTGTAAAATAAAGGTTTTTTTGTAAGTTTTTATTTTTTTATTAAATTAAAAACTAAATAATCTATACTATTATAATAAAGAGGTAATGTTTGTAAGTTTGTATGTAGCGGATAATCTCCGAAACTACTCATCCGATTTCAAAAATTCTTTCACCATTATTTAGAATGGAACTTCAGGGTGGACATAGACTGTATATTATTCCGTTAAACATTCATATAAATTAAAAGATATCATCTATAGTTAAGGCTTCCAACAGATGGCACTACGAGTACGATGACCTAAGTTTGTTTTTCTGTGTGGCATGCTTTTCTGTGAGGATGAACTAAAGCAGATCATCATCTATCTACCTATATAAATAAAAATATAGTGTTCGTTTGTTCCTACCAATTCTTTTGAAATTTTCACACAATGTTGCATTCAAATACACACTTGTTTTTATATAATATACATGTCAAAATTTCCCCCACTGGGGGAAGATGGACAGGATTAAGGCTTACCATAAAGAACTCTGCTTCTATTTATACTATTTTAGATGCATATTTTTGTGTTTTTGATTGCGTTTTAATAGGGTATGTCAAGAGAATGTACACTAAGAAGGGATTTTTCAAAAAATTCCCCCCCACGAAGGAAGTGTTATACATTTATAATAGATACATTTTGAGCCACAACAACGCGTGGTGGGGTCTGCTAGTTCTATATAAAATCACAACTAAATGTATAAGCATAACACCATTACACAATTAAAATGAATGACAGTGTCTGATTTGCAATAATTTTACAATATTAATGCTCTCTTCCTTCAAATGAAGACAACAGAGTAAGGAATAGCTTCTTAATTAGGAATCGATTAAATAATAGTTTCACTATTAAAACAGACCAGGAAATGGATTTTATTTAAAGAAATACTTCCAAGATATTTATATAGTTCTAGCAGATGAGCCCGGCATTACTTGCAAAAAAGTATTGATAGTGAAAATTAAGATTATTAGATTATAGCCAATCTTACCCGTTTTATCAAGTACAAGAATGTCCTCCTCTTCTGAGACTAATTAGAAAATTTTTAGATATCTGCTTACCACACCAGGATAACAATAATTAAGACTCACTGCAACCACTAACCAGTGCATAGTACCACTAAGTGATGAATAAACGTTTTTGTAATTCTTTCTAGGTTTTTCTTTATGTTTACTAAATTCAAAAAATAAGCTGCATCTTCCAGAATCATTCATAAATATAAATTAAAACATAAAATCAAACATTAAGACGAAGAGTTCGAATAAAGCAAACTTATGTGCATGCGCTCTTCATGTCAACATTATATATGAAATGCTCGTATACACTCGCGCCATCTATCGTAGGATAAATGTACTATGCCAGAAACCTTCGCGGGGGTGTATTAAACAATTTCCCAAAGTTTCATGGCAATCGGATAAATGGTGTAGTAATGCATGAAAGACAGACAGACAGACATACATTCATTTTTATATATATAGATATCCTATTTCATTCATTCATTCATGGGTGTTCTGTCCTAGGACAGGTCCGTGGAAAGCAGTCAAATTATAAAATTCTCCTTCTCCAACATTCTCTATTTCGGGCTTCCTCTTTTATTTCTTTATAAGTTTTGCCTAGTAAAACATCATCTATCAATACTTTTCTTTTTCTTCCTCTTTGTTTCCTTGCATCAATTTTTCCTTCTAATGCCACGCGCATTAATCCTTCTCCTCGCAATATATGACCTAGCCAGTTTTTTCTTCTTCTTTGTATTGTTTTTAAAAGAGATCTCTGTTCCTAGACCAAATTTAAAACCTCTTCATTCTTAACCTTTTCTGTCCACTTGATTTTCTCCATTCTTCGCCATAACCACATTTCATATGCTTCAAGGTAGTTTGTTTCCTTTTTCCTTAAGGTCCAAGTCTCTGCTCCATATAAAGTTGTGCTCCAGGGAAAGCATTTTATTAACTTGTTTTTAAGTGTTTGGTTCATTTTTCCAATAAGAAGTTCTTCTTCTTATAAAAATCCATTTTTCCAGCCCTGATTCGTTCTTTGATTTCTTTTTCACATCTGCCACCTCCCTGAATAATGCTGCCAAGATACCTAAAATGTTGAACTTGCTCTATTTTGTTTCCATCAATTAGGATTTTCAAATCTTTGCTAATTAGCTTTCCAACTTTCATCACTTTTGTTTTAGCTATGTTAATTTTCATTCCAAATTTTTTGCAAGTTTTGTTGAGTTTCGTTACCAAACATTGTAGAGTTTGTTCATTTGGTGCAAGTAAAGCAATATCATCTGCAAACGTAATACTTTGTATTAATTGGCCACCAATTTTAATTCCGAGGCTGTCCTCACTTATGGCTTCATTCATTAATTCCTCAAGATAAATGTTAAAAAGAGTAGGTGAAAGTGTACACCATTACCTGATTCCTTTTCCAATACTGCATGGTTTGCTTTCTCCAGTTTTTGTTTGGATAATGGCAGATTAATTCATATAAAGTGAAGCAATGAGTCTTTTATCTCTCCAATCTGTTCCTATTTTTCTTAAGATTTCCATTAGCTTTGTCCAGTTAACCATATCAAAAGCCTTTTCCATGTCAATAAAGCAAATGTACGTATCCTTATTAACCTCAATGTTTCTTTCACAAATTGTTCTCAAGAGGCCAATAGCATCCCTTGTTCCTTTTCTGAATCCAAATTGTTCTTCACATAGAAATGTTTCAGCCTTGTTGTAGAGTCTTCTGTTAATGATTTTAAGAAGGATTTTTGAGGCATGTGAAATTAAACTAATTGTTCTAAAATCACTACACTTTTTAGCTTTTGCTTTCTTTGGTATAGGTATCAAAATACTTTGAGCAAAGTCTTCAGGCCATTCTCCTGTTTTATATATGAGATTGCATAAGTCTGTTATTTTCTCGATTCCTTCCTTGCCTAACCCTTTTAGAAATTCAGCTGGTATTCCATCTACTCCTTCTGACTTTTTGTTTTTCAATTCTTTAATTGCCAATCCAACTTCATCTTTCATGATAATAGGTCCTCTTTCATCATTAGCTATTTGAGAAGATTTTTCCAATTTTAACTCTTTAGGTTTGGTGTTCTCTCCATAGAGATCTCCAATATATTCTTTCCAATGGCCCATTATATCAGTTGGGGTTAAAAGTGCTTTTCCATCTTTGTCTTCAATACTCAGAATTTGGTGGGTGCGATCATTTGTTAGTTCTTTGACTTTTTTGTAAAATAGATCATATCTGCCTTTTTTGTTCAGTTCTTTGATTTCCTCACATTCCTTACTTAACCAAGCTTCTCTAGCTTTTCCAGTTTCACATCTCAATTCATTATTCAGCTTCTTGTACATCATTCTCCCTTTTTCATTATTTATATTTTTCCAATTTCTTCTTTCATTCATTTTCTCAATCATTTCTTGAGTAATCCAAGGTTTTTTTTATTCTAGTACCATTTACATATCGAAGAAAATTTTCAGCCAATTCCTTTATTGTATCTTTAATTATTTTCCAATTTTCGTTTGCGTCAAACTCACAGTCAAAGTCATATGGAAGTTCTTTTAATTTATATTCCAGGTTTTCTTTAAAATTTAATCCAGTATTTCCATTTAGCTTTTCCAAATTCCATCTTTTTATTCTTTTGGCTCTCAAAACTTTTTTTCAATTTCATCACAATATCTGCAGTTAATAAGTTGTGATCAGAATCTGCATCTGCTCCTGGATATGTCTGAATTTTTTTGACTGCATTCCTAAAACGACTTTGAATAAGAATATAATCTATTTGATACCTTCCAATGTCTCCAGGCATTTTCCAAGTGTATAGTTGACGTTTGGATTGTTTGAACCATGTGTTTCCAACTATTAATTGATGCTTGGTAGCAAATTCAACTGGTCGTTCCCCTCTTTCATTCCTATTTCCTAGCCCAAACTTATCCACAAGTTTTCCATCTCCTCCTTCTCCTACAGATGCATTCCAGTCTCATAACAATTAAACATTTCTTAGTTTTATCATTTTCTATTATATCTTCAATTTGATCATAAATTTCTTCTACTTCTTCATTGTCATAGTCTCCAGTAGGCATGTATACTTGAAATATCATCATATCCATGGGATCGCTTTTTATTTTAATCATTAAAATTCTGTCACCTCTGCATTCAATTCTTTCAACTGAGTTTTTTACCTTCTCACCTAAAATAAATGCTACACCATTCTTTCCTTTAGTTCCACAAGAATAAATAACCCTGAATTCATCGCTAAAAAAAAATCACCGCTGTCCTCCCATCTAACTTCACTAAGCCCAAGAATATCCAAATTCTGCCTCTTCATTTTTGCCTTGACATTTTCCAACTTACCTGGTCAAAGCATGGTTCTTACATTCCATGTTCCTATTCGAATTCTTCCTATGGGGGTTTCGCGTGGTGACAACCTGGGAAGCCCCATAACTTCCCCTGCCGGGCAAGACACCTTTCTTTTGGAAATGAGTCCCATATTTGCCAGTACGATAAATAGGTTTTCTGCTTTCCATTAACAAGGGAGGTATAGCTGAGATGGTTTCCCGTTGCCTTCCTCACGGTTTCTGATCAGAGTTTTCCTTCTCCTAGGCAGGTTGCCTACCAAGGCTTAAGAGTCCTGCCTACTCCGGCAATAGGCATATAGCAGCCTAAATCACCTTGACACAGCACATCAAGATTACAAATAAATAATCTTCTTAACAAATTATCTCTATTAGCAAATTTTTACGAAAATTTTTTTTAACTGTTTTTTATCCTATTTATGCCTGTGGAAAATCATACTATATTTTAGACTAATAAATTATAACAATGCTGTAATTATACATTTATTGTAATTCAATTACAAATTTAAAAAGACATAACTTGAAATATACAAAATGAAATCATTTTTTAGAATTAAAAAAAATTTTATTATTATACTAGCTTACCCATCGCGCCTTGCTGCGATCTCAGAAGAAACAAAATTCAAGCAAACTCGTTATGATAAAATTCAATTTACATTTTATCACTTTTATTGAAACTTATTATTATTAATCGGGAAAACATTTCAAAGTGTCGTTTCAATTCTATTTATTTATTGGAGTGCTTGTGGATACACGATATTTTTTGTTTTCCCGTCTGGTGCGTACATCAATAAATCAGAATGTTTTCCGACGTGTGAGCTGGCCACATATGTCCATGTGAGAAGCACGGATTCTCCAAATCTAGCCCACACACTTGCAGCGATTGTCAGAAGTGCGATATTCCCCATTTTTATATATATTTTTTAATCCTTTACAATTTTAATTATTTAATTGCTCCTTCCTCTCTTCCTTGGCATGTTGTGAAATTTCTGATAGTTGGATAATAAACCGTTTTATTGTAATTTGTCTTTTTAAATTATTGTGAGATGATATAAAAATTTGGAAAAGGGGATCCCTAGATCGGTAAAATAGGCAAATTTCCTCCTACAACTTAACTGTATCCCGAACAACAACCGAAAGTTTTAACAAAGTTCGAGCAAATACGTAATTGGCAAAAAAAAGTTAAAATAAAGTGATTAAACAAAAATTATTACAAATATCATAAACAGTTCACAAATGCATATATAGAGATATTTTTTGAAGGGGGAAATGGTCTTCACAATTTGAAATCAATTGAACTCACGATGAAATGCTCGTATACACTCGCGCCATCTATCGTAGGATAAATATACTATGCCAGAAACCTTCGCAAGAGTATATTAAAAAAACTTTCCAAAGTTTTTTGGTAATCGTACTATGCCAGAAACCTTCACGAGAGTATATTAAACAACTTCCCAAAGTTTCATGGCAATCGGATAAACGGTGTGATATGCATGAAGGCAGACATACATTCATTTTTATACATATAGATAAGAATTACACATGCTGATAAAATACACAAACTCACAATAAATTTTCACATTAAATTTATATATTTTGAATGCATAAAAGTAAACCTACATCTTAATAAATTCAATTATAATAGAAGTTTGTTAATCTAGCATCCAATAACACAGAATGTCCAGTAATCTGGCATCCTTTGAAAATTAGCCAATAAAAATACTGCATGCTAATATTCCACAAGTTGAAATTTGTTTGGACAAAATGTGCTAACACTGAACAAAAATCAAAATAAGTGAGAGTGTGTGGCCATGCACATTGCTACATGTTTGGGAAGTCAACTGTGGGATTAAGAGCAATGTGATTGATAAAAATTACTTTTGTTACAGCATCTTGTTTGACATTGCTACATTGATATAAAATATAGCAATGTCTGCAATGTTCAGCATTATAATCCAGCATTTTCAATAATCTAACACTACTCTGGTCCGATAGATGCCACGTTAACAAACTTCTACTGTTGTTATTATTTTCAAGTCCATTTTTTTCAAATCATTATTTTATAATGTTTTCAAAATTAAATTTTTAAATAAAACATTATTGCAAAATATTTATTAATAATTTAACTATTATTTTATTACTTGCTTACATTTATCCTTCCACTGCATATTGCTTCATATAATCGTTCTTTTGTTCCTATAAATGGTAAAGTGCCTGTTAAGAGAGTATATAATAATACTCCACAACTCCAAATGTCTGCTGGTTTGCCATATGGTTTTCTTTGAACAACTTCAGGTGCCATGAAATGAGGAGTACCTATTCTACCTATAATTTACAATATTGTAATTATATTCTTTTAAGTAATTTGAGTAATTCAAAAAAACAAATTTATATTTAAATTTCCAAAACAGCAGCATCATAAAAATAATTACAATAGCTCCTTTTATAATCTAGTTAGTTTCTGTAAAAGTACACTTTAACAAGCATTGTACATTAAATTTTACTTTGTTTAATCACAGTAACACAAACCAATAATGTGTTATTGAAAAAAACCTTAAACTATATAACGTAACAAAATAGCCAGTAAAAGCTGTAGTATTTAAATATGGCATTTCATATAATAATAAAATTATACAAGTCATATCAATGGAAAATTACAGAATAAGCAGTCATAAAATGGAATCTACTACTATAAAAATGCACTAATAAAAAATTTAATCATTAAAATTTTTAGATTCTTAATAAAAAGATTAGTTAATATCTCTAGATTAAATTTTGAATCAAGTGTATCTGAAAATTATACTAGGTTGTTCAATAAGTTGTCATTCGATAAGGGATAGTAGCTTGGCAGCTTTATTTCTTTAAAAATGGTACTATTGTTTTATGAACACGTGAAGTTTCATGTAGATCTGTCAACTCATTCATATATTTACAAGTGTTCAAAGTTGACGTGTCACTGTAATTTTTTACAATGAAAAAAATTGAATATCGTGCAGTGATAAAATTCTTATTTTTGGAAGATGTAGTACCAAAACAAATTCATGAATGATTGTTAAAAGTGTATAAGGACTCTTCACCTTCAATTAGAACAGTAGAAAGATGGGTTGCTAAATTTAAACGTGGTCGTACAAGTCTTGAAGACGATCCATGTGAAGGACGTCCAAAAAGTGCATCAACACCAGAAATAGTAGCAAAAATACAGCATATGGTTTTGGAAGATCATCGATTAACCGAGAGAGTAACAGTTTTAAATTGCTTTGAAGAACACTTCTTAAACAAAGGTAAAAAAATTGGTAGAAAACTCCACAATGTTAAAAAAGATCAAGTGACAGCCTTTTTTTGTAGGTTCCGACACTTTTACATTAAAAACACAAAGAATTCTTCTCACCATATTATTTTTTATCCACTTTTAAACTGCTTCTGACCCTCTAGTGGTAGTTATGAGATATTTACATTATTTGCATATAGTTACAATTTTTGTGATAACTCAGGATGTATTTTCTTCATAATTGAAGTTTAAACTATTTACAAAAATTAAATATTTTTGTAAATAGTTTTTTTTAACTTTGTTTTAAATTGCTTTGAAGAACACTTCTTAAACAAAGGTAAAAAAAACTATTTACAAAAATATTTAATTTTTGTAAATAGTTTAAACTTCAATTACGAAGAAAATACATCCTGAGTTATCACAAAAATTGTAACCTAGAGAGATTTAGTAGAAGCCCTAGGGATCTCATTAGGCAGTGTGAGAATATTTTGGCTGAAGTTTTGGGTTACAGAAAACTGTGTGCACAATGGGTGCTGCATTCGCTAACAATGGAACAAAAACACATTCGAATGCGACTTTTTCAACATTTGGAGCATTTTAGAAAGGATAAAAAGGATTTTGTGCATCATTTCATCACTATGGATGAGACTTGGGTCTACCACCATGATCCTGAATCAAAACAAGAGGCTAAGGAGTGGTGTGAACCCAGTACTTCAGATCCAAAGCAAGTTAGGATGCTGAAATCAGCCAAGAAGGTGTTAGCATCAGTTTTTTTGAGATGCAAAAGGAATTTTGTTTGTGGATTACCTCCAAACTGGTAAAACAATAAACTCAGATTATTACTGTAACCTTTTGGACCAGCTGGATGTAAACATTCGTGAGAAAAGATCTGGTTTACAGAAGAAAAACATCATTTTTTATCAAGACAACGAACCCTCTCACACAGCTCAAAAAACCATCGCAAAAATCAGTGAATTAAAGTACAAATTGTTGTAACATCCACCCTATTTGCCAGATTTAGCTTCCTCTGACTTCTGGCTGTTCTCACATCTCAAAAAAAATTCATTTCTGGGAAACAATTTTCATCAAATTAAGAGGTAATAGCAGCCATGGAAGTGTATTTTGACAGTCTTCCGGATTCTCACTTCAGGGATGGAATCCATAAATTAGAAGATCACTGGAACAAGTGTATTGAAGTTCAGGGAAATTATATTGAATAATAAAATGTATTTCAAACCATAAAATCATGTTTTTCTTATTGAATGACAAAACTTATTGAACAACCAATATATATATATATATTGGTATATATATTGGTATATATATATATTATATCAATAAAACCACCAAATATTTTATTTTAGATATAATGTTATTTTGCTTAAAATTCAACTGAAAGTGAAATGCATTAAAACAATACAAATAAAATCAATACCAGTGTAAAGATTTTACATGTCAGTTTTGACTCAACATTAGAATTAATATATCAACTTGGATGAAAAACAATATGCAAAAACACATATTGATCATATGCATTATATCATTATGCAGATCATTTCATAATTATAAGTGCACACAGGATTTTTTGACTCAAGTTTTAGCAATGTAATTTAACAAATAGCTGTTCTTATGATAATACACACACAAAAGTAATTTGAAAATAGAGAGGTTGAGGCGCACGTTTTAAACGTGTAAACGTGTACGTGTGACGTTCGGCGCCGCTTTCCCGTAAGCCTAAAAGTTTGACGATGGTGTTTGGAATGTCGAGCGTGATTCCACCGACTATCCAAACACCATTGTCAAACTTTTAGGCTTACGGGAAAGCGGCGCCGAACGTCACACGTACACGTTTACACGTTTAAAACGTGCGCCTCAACCTCTCTAATATTTATATTTAGAAAATTTTTAAACAAAAACACCTGTTTCATAATTATAAGCTCATGTTAAAAACACCCATTAACAAGCTTTTAAACATTTGAGAAGAAAAATTTTAGATATATTAATATTTTGTTGGATCTCCTGAATAGTTAATAACGAATGCCAGGAAGATGAAACTCCAGAACACATTTTGTTTACCTGTTAAACACGTCACTCCAGAACACATTTTGTTTACCTGTTAAACACGTCACTCCAGAACACATTTTGTTTACCTGTTGTGTGTTAAACACGTCACTCATCGCAAGCAGCTCAAGCATGTAATGTATTCTCAGGGGTTCCACTGGCCCTGTCGAAATCAGGACTTCCTTACTAACAACATTACAACTGCCTTCAAGACATTCATTCTCAAAACAGGGAACACTTTTCCCAACTTTAACTCAGGGACCACCGCAAGCCAAGATGGGCTCCCTTCTCCAGTGACAACAGACTAACCGGCAAATATTTTACCTTTGTCTTTGTGCTCATCACAACCTGTCTCAGCAATGCAACCAGCCTAGATTGCCTGACAAGGTTGTTCGGTTAACTTTCTTTCTTTTATATGCGCTAGCCTAGTGGTTCAGGCCACTTGTCCCTCTTTTGTTCCCCTGGACTAGTATAACTAATACTAAGTCTTCAGGGTCCCCCCCCAAGCTGAGATTCATGTTATGTTATGTTTTGTTCGTTCCAAACTGTCATATACATTTGTATCCGCTAAGTCGCAAGTTGTCTTCTGTGGTCTTTGCTTTGTCCGTGGTCTGTTGTACTCTACAAATTGGAACAGTTTCATTGTTTTTCTTCAGGCATGTACCTACATTTTGTATTACATTTATTTGGGTTCCAATAAATGGAGCAGGGTGCTGGATGCTCACAAATCTCTTCTTCACACTTTCCTATCATACTTACCCCATCTTCCCCTTCCCCCTCTCTTATCCTCTTCTCACTTCTCTTCTAAGGCTAAGCCTCTGGTACGGCCTTCTTAACTTTTGCAGAGAGAATAGTTAATAACTTTAAATATTCTATTTTGCATAAAATTAAGTAAATTTTGGAAAAACATTAACATCAATGCATGTCCCTGCTGATTCAATGGCTCTCTCAGTTCATTTAAGGACTTAGAACTATTTATGCAGAAAATCATCAATCTAACAAGTATACTCCAAAAGGTTTTCCACTAGATTTTAATCAGGAAAATAAGTTGACCATTCCAAAAGTTCCATTCCATTATACTCAGAATCATCCCTTGCTTTTTCTACTAACATTGATACTTGCATTATTTTGTTGATAAGTAACTTTTTTCTGAGAAAGTGACAAACATATGGAAAGACACTGATATCCAATAACTTAATGCAGTGGTTCCCAATTAGTTTTTCCTGCATACCACTTCAAGAAAGAGCTCAAACTTGCGTACCCCTTATAGCAGAAATTCATATTAATCTATACTAATATTATAAATTTGAAGGTAATTTTGTCTGTCTGTCACCTTTTCACATCTAAACCACTGAACAGGTTTTAATAAAATTTGGCACAGAGATAGCTTACATATTAGAGATGGACATGGGCTACATTTTACTGCAAGAAAATATCTTACTCACACGAGAAAATTCAATGTAATGCAGGCAAAGCTGTGGGTAGACAGCTAGTGATAAATAAAATAAGTTTTTTTTACATTTATTACCTTTAAAATACAATTCTAATAATAATAAAAATAACATAAGGTTATTTAATTTTAATGTGACAAATGTACACAATTTTCTTTGCACAACTTTGTAAAATCTGGTTGCTTTTTGGTCAGCTTCAGTCTCGAGTCATCTTCGAGTCGAAGTCAGTGATGATGTTTAGTTTTCATGTTTGTCATGGCCAAAAAACCGTTCTCGCAGAGGTATGTTGTGCAAAATGGTAGTAAATATTTTATTGCCGCTTCGCTGACAAGAAACAAATATTGTAAAACTAACACAATTTGTGTTAATTCTACAATTTTTGTTTCTTGCGTAAGAATCAGGGCTGTGGAGTCGGAGTCATGGAGTTTTGGTGTTTTAGCCGGAGTCAGAGTCGGATGATAAGGAAAGTCGAAGTCAGTAGATTTTTACGCAACTCCACAGCCTTGGTAAGAATTTCACTTAGGTATTGTCACAAATGCATTTTTTTCATGAAATTTCAAAAATATTTTTAGTTATAAATAAACAAATTTGTGCATTCGACGTCATGTTTTAAATTACAGTGGAACCCCGGTTAACGAACGTCCTGGTTAACGACCAAATCGGTTAACGAACTTTTATTTTGCAAAAATTTTGTCTCGGATAACGAACAAAATTCGGATAACGAACGTAACGGTATTTTGTGTCAAATTTTAGTTGGTGTTAGGCACGCGCGAGTTAAGCATTGCTTTTCCGAGTGTTTGTACTATACTTCTTTTTTCAGTTTTGTGATTTATATATTTAATCAATATGGCATCCAAGAAAGAAAAAAGTCATAGTGGCAATAGAAAACGACAACGCGCTATCGCATTTTAGAAAAATTTTGATTAAAAGAATAAGACAATCAACTTTAGATCAATTTCTTGTTCCTTACGGAAAGAGTTTGTTTGTTTGTTAAGTTATGGCAACGCAACACTTGGGCGATCTGCCTAGGGGGAATGCCTTTTGGGAGGTGTTTTTAAGGAAAACTGGCCCCTATTTAGGCGTTACAGACGTGGAGAAAACCCGGAAAACTCCATATGGTCAGCCCATCTGAGCAAGGTGCGAACCCGTGAACGAACTCCCCGTGTTCAAGGTACGAAGACCACTTAGCCATTGGTGATTTTTTTTTTACCGAAAGAGACTTCGACTCGAAGAATCTTCCGATGAAGTGCTACCCGTTATTTTTTTTGGAGGGGATTCCCCTTCTAAGCATTAAGGTTCGTATATCTCCACTTTTCTGCCACCAACTACAACAAACGAAGGTATGTACAGTATATTTTATTAAACAAAGTTTACATGTTTGTTGCTGTAATGATAGATACTACGTTTTCCTACATTTTCATCAAAGAAAATTACTGTATATTACAAATAAAATCGCAAAAATTTCGGAGACTAGAACGGATTAATTGCATTTGCATTAATTTCTATGGGAAAAATTGCTTCGGTTAACGAACGGAGTCGCGGAACGGATTAAGTTCGTTAACCAGGGTTCCACTGTACTGAACTTTTGATGGTCCACCCATTATTTTTTTGATTGCTTCATCTCATACATTTAAATTTAAAATCGACTGATTTTAGATTGCCGCGTGTACCCCTTCATGCAATTTTGCATACCCCTGGGGGTACGCATACCTCTAATTGGGAACCATGGCCTTAATGTATTTAAAACTGTTCATTTTTGAAGAAACAAACTGGAGATGATTGTCTTTCCAGCTGAAAAGTGCTCATACCATGATATTGCCAACATTATGCTTAGAAAAATAGCATGGTTCTTTTCTCAGATCATGCTGGTATCCAGAAAAAGCATCAGCACCATCAAAGTTAAATTTATTCTCATCTGGAAAGATCACCTGCAGAGTATTATAGATTTAGTATAGTCCCATCAAATGAAGAAGCAAAATATGCACAAAAATAAATAGAAAAGTTCCTATTTTCAGTCACAATCCATTTTGTTTATGGCAAATTCCAGTCAAATATCTTTATCCATTTTATTCAGGAGAGGAGTGATTTTTACTTCTGAGTAGACAACATTTTTATTATGCTTTAGTACACACCACACATTTGTTTTGGATACATTTAAACTGATTTTAATTTTGTTGAGGCTTTCATTATCCATTAATGCCTTGTGTGTAGGCATTCCTCGTACTTAGTAAGAAATCATTTTCTGCCAATGGCTATTTTATTGCCATAACCAACAGGATTGAAAGAAAATTTTCAATTATGCTCAAGGAATAATTAATTTTTTTACCAATAGCTCTTAAATTTACTCCTTTGTACAAAGCTGATATTTTTTCATTTTCTAATTATGAAAGCCAGATACCATGAACTTCACTTTGTTATACATGTTTAAGCCTAAAAAAGCAAATCAAAAAAGGCAGGACTTCAGAAATCACAGCAGAGCAGCAAATGACATTTATAATTGTAAAATGGGATATTTCAGAATTTCTATAAAAAAAAAAAATTCTTCTAATGATATTTAAAAAAAATGTATCTAATAATATTTTATGCAATCTAATGATACTTTATGCATATATTTAAAATATTTTAAATATACAGGTAGCCCTCGGTTTACGCCGGTTGAATTTACGCCGCTGCACAATTCGCGATTTTGCTGTGTAATTCCCCGATTTACCCTATGCCAGACTGATTTTCATTTCAGTGTTGATGTATTTACCGAGCCGCAACATTGTACATTCGTTAAAACAAAGATTTTTATTGAATATATTTATTTTTTCTGTTTAATATTATTGGGTATGTATACATTTGCATTAAATTAATATTAAAATACTAAACGTTTAGGTACCCACGAGTCAAGTTATCAAACTTAATAGTCCAATAAATGGCGTCCGAATCCATAGCGCCATTGAATTTATCCCGTATCAGTTTGTTCAGGAAAACACCTTACGACGCAGTAGCACTTCCGGCGATCACAAACTATCGTTAGTGAGACAAATCTACTTCTCGTTGGCCAGACGATATCTATCTCTCCTTAATTTTCCCGCTCAAACTGACCTTACATATGCGCTACGGCGACCGGTGGTCGACCAATCAGTGTCTCCGCTCGTCCGTAGCTCTACGTCGGGTTAACGTATCCTTTCAACTATGGAAAGTTTGACAGTTGAACTTTGTGAGTTAGACAATGATTGGGAGCGAAGTGCGAATGTAAAAAGGAGTATCGTCGCATCCATTCGACCATATTCTGAAATTCTCAATGAAAGAAAACAAAAATGTAAACAATTAAAGATGGACACTTTTTCCGAAAAATGTAAGAGATCCGAAACTAAAATTTTTAATAAAAACATTTAACTTTATTTTATGATAAAATACATTTTAAAAATTAAATTTATTTGTACTTTGTATTATATTGTATTAATAAACAAAATTATTTGTGTATTTTTCACTTATGTGGAACCTAACACTATACCTCAGTGTAAATATGGGTTTGTTTTATGCCGATTTGATTTGCGCCGGCTTTTGTAGGAACAGAACTGCGGCATAAACCGAGGGCTACCTGTATGTATAAAATATTATATATGCTATTAAATAATTATTTTTAAATATATCCATTTTAATAATAAATTTCTAGGATATAAAAATTAATATAAAATGTTCATAATTATGTAAGTTAAAACTTATTTCTTACCCTTCTCATCACATTTCAAATAAAATTTTACAGCTGAGCTTAATTTCAATGAGTATGTCTCTTCTATGGAAAAGAATAAAAACAAATGTGAACATAAAAATAAAAAAATCATAAAGACCAAAATTTCAGATTAAAATGAAATTTATAAAAAATTAACTAAAATTAACATATAACTAAAATGTAGTTAAAATAAAATCAATAAAATAATAATTATGAGATATTAATATTAAAAAATTTATTAATGAAAACTAATTAAGACAGTACAAACAAAAAATGAAATCTATAAAATAAAAAATGAAACATAGTTGTGAGAAAAGTATAGTTTTGACACTGATAAATATTTAACAAGTCAATCTATCAGTTATTTCAAAATTAAATAAACTAGTTTATTCAGTGTGTATTTGTGTGTGTTAATTATTAAAATCAACTTTAATCAGAAATATAACTACTAGCAGAAAATCAGTAAAAGCATTTGAAACAAATTTATTCTTTTCTGAATTCTTAATATCTGAAGAAAACATTTACAGAATAAAAACAATAGCATATGATGTAATGGCAATCATTTTTAATAGTGTAGTTTATTCACTTTTTCACTGAACAACCTGCATATATTCCAAATCACTACTCATTTACCTTTCACCAAGGTCAATTACTTATAAAATGTTGTCATGGATTAGCATTTTCATGTTGTTTTTGAAACCGTGTTTTGCAAATATATTGGACTTCGAACTCACATTTGAGTCATAAATAAACACTTAGCTTTACTTCCATCATTTTTAGTTGATAAACAGATTGCTTGGGTAGCATTTTCATTTTAATTAATTAATTAATTAATGAGCCTTTGATAAGGCTCGATTAAGGCTTAATTGTTTTTTAATGGGAGTTTTTTATCAAATTTATTTCATGGTTCCTAAGTTGTAGCGCACGGATTTTCCTTCGGTAAAGTTATTTAAAGCTGCTTTCTGATGTCAAAAACCACCTCCAATAGTTTTTTAATTTTTTTAATTAATAGATTTTATTATATACATGTTTAATTAAGTTGGGGGGTCGGAAATTGCAATTAAAATTTGAATTTTTTAAAAATATTTAAAAATATACGGCCAGCTAGAAGTCACCCTACTTTAAACCCTTGTCCTCCCGAGACTTCTATGAGAATGTCCCGGGAAATCCAACTCCAGCTGTGTTCAAGGTCATCCAGCTGTGTAAATAATGACTCATAGGTGTCAAATTTCACAGAAAGGCGAGACAAAGGAAAATAAAAGTTTGAAGCTTTTTCTTCAAAATTAACGCATTTCTTTCGTTTTTTTTCAGTTTTAAGTATTTTTTATGTTTAATTACATTAATATCAAAAATTGCTGGAAACTTAAGGTGTTAAAGCAATGCTTCATATATAAACAAAAATAAAATTGAATTTACCACATATATCTCATGTTTAGCTGCAATACATGCACTACTGTTTGACAATAACAAAGACAGCATTATTTAATAATTTCATTTGTTTGAGCATTTGTTACACAAGAACTATATATTAAGTGCCCAAATCAATTCAGCAATGAGTAGAAATCATACCTTGACAAAATATATATACCTTGTAATGAGTCATATCTTTTATCAATCATGTATTCTATAAATAAAAGTTTACATCAAAAAATTTGTATCTTACAGAATATTGTATCTTATAACAAGCATACTATAAACAGAAGAATCTCATATAAACAGATTGCTTGGGTTGCTGAAAATAATTTGTTGTTCCAAGAATATTGCAAACAATGAATTTCCTGACAACCAAAAATAGAAATGAAAATTTTTTGAACAACAGTTATTTTATCTGTTATTCAAAAAAATTTCCATTTTTTGAACATCCTACATGTAAGAAATACCAGTACTTGAAATTATTCAGTATCCTGAAACTGCTATTCTTTATTCTATAGAAACACACGTTACGAGATCATATATTATGCCATATGTGTATGACATAGGGCTGACGGAAACTATACATACTCTAAGTACAAAGAGAGGCAAATTAGATTTGCTCATTAGCACTTCACTTGACTTCATGATTTGTTTGAATTCATCCATCTTGGTTTTGTTTTGATGCACTTGGACCAGCATCATAATTTTCAACTAGGCGGATCCTCCTCAATCATATCAGAGTGCTGACTCTCTTCATAAATTATTCAATTGCATATATCTTAGATATAACAAATGCATCATCAAACTCTACAAATTCCCAGAAACACCCAAGTACTAAGTAAACATCGAAAAACACAAAGTTTACAATAGATGGAGTTAGAAAAAATTCATTATTTAGAGTTACAGATCCATTAAAAGGAAATAAAATTACATTAATTTGGCAGGACCTAGAAAAAAATCTGTTACAAATAATGAAACAAAATTCCAAACTGGAATTCTGTTTCATTAAAAAAAACCTAAAGCAGGCCTTGGTGAAGGCTGAAAACATTCAGAATTTGTCGTTAAAGTTCTGTTACTGGTTATTGAAGGTTTTGTTTTAATTTTAACTAATCACTCCAATAATTTGAGGAGGAGATAGTTATAAAAAATCAATTACTCTGAAAAATCTGTTGTTCCACATCCATTAAGATGAGATTCTACTATATCAAATCTTTTCTTGTATTTCTGCATGTTTATTTCCAAATTTTTGAAATTTATGTTATGACCATAAAATGAAACAATTATGTATATATAGTCATATATATTTTATCAAAAATGCAATATTTAATTTAACAAGGTAAACTAAAATGTCTTATTATAAATTTAATTTTCTTACAAAATAACAATTCTTTTAAAAAATTATATTTTACAATTTTCTATAAATAATCCGAAAATATTTAAAATTTATTATTATTAAACATATGCCACTTATGTTCAGAAGAGCTCATAAGTTCATTTTTGGGAAAAATAAGTTAGTGATAATTTTAGTGAGACAGATGTCCTCCTTTTATATATATATACTAGTAGCCTGGGATGCCCCCTAGTGGGAGTTCTTTACAAATTCCCATGAGGCACGGTTCCTTTGACTTTTTTGTTCCTATCAATATGCTCTACAGCTCTGTTAAAGTCCCAATCGCATCATACAAATCTTGATTTCTACCTATTAAACATTCTATAAATATTTTAAAATAGTTTAATTTGTTTATTTACCTTCGCTTATAAATCTCGATTTTAAATGTATCTGCCATTTTTCAACAAATTTCCTGTGAGTCAATGTGTGACATTCGCTGAGTCACGGGATGTTATAAATGTGCGGCGCAAGATTAATCAAGGCATATAATAAGGCAAGGCAAGGCATATAATAATTATTTATACCATTCCGTGGTATAAATAATAAATTCATATCAATAATAAATTCCTATTATAAATAAAAATAATTTATTGTTAATTTAAAATCATCACTAGGGCACCCCTAGTGGGTGTTTTAGGCAATGGATACCATTACAGATGCAACAATGGCTTATATATATATATAGATTTAACACAGTCAATGATGTACAATATCCTCATAAATTAATCAAAAGAACATTAACTGTCAAATGTTATCAAAAGAATGTTTTTGAAAATGGAATAAGTCCATTCAAAATAATAATTATTATTGTTGATAATTACAAATGGACTTATTCACAATTGACTGTTATTAAATGTATATAAAAAAAGGACATCTGTTTCACTAAAAGTATCACTAGCTTATTTTTTCCCAAAAATGGACTTATACCACTTTCATTTATGATGTCTCACTTTTACATTAAAACGAGCAATTATTTATCATGACATCATCACAATGCCAATTTTAAATCAAACTAAAAATCACATTCTTAGTTTGATTTAAAATATATGCTTTCCATCTCAAATTAGTAGTGGCTTGCCTCTGTACATCATACTTATCCTGTTAACAATATAGTTGTACCCATCATCTATGTAACACCTTACAAGGAAACTTTTTGAATTGAAATAACACAACTTTCAGTTTGCACTGAAAACTGAAAGTTGTGTATAGTTAATCAGGGCCTCCTGTCTCTAAGTTTTCCATATCTAGTCTCAGCTATCTTCTAACTCCATTCTCAAGATTAAGGAAGGACAGACAAACAGGATAACAACAGTTGGAATTTATAGGTCTACAATCTTTTCAAATTGTAACCCAAAACTCTTGTTGTTAAATTTTTCATAATTTGTTATTATTAAAAGTGGTATAAGTCCACTTGTACTGTACACAAAAAAAAATTGTTTATTTTCTCTAACAATTTTATTAATTATTATTATTACATAATAAAATTCAACAGTTTATACAATTTAGTTTAAACAGTTTTAACAATTTATAGTTTTAAAAACACTACCTGAATTTATTAATATTTGCCAATATTTTTCAGTTGATTCAAATGCAAACCCTTAAGTATCTCAATGTATGAATAAATGGACTTATACCACATTCATTTTATAATGGTTCATATATTACATAGCAAAAATTTTGATTTTTCTGCTATTTCAATTATATTTTTGTTTTTTCATTTAACACAACCATAATTCATTAGTATCTATCATTTAATGTAAAATCTTAGTATTTTGAATTTAAAAGTTAAAAATGACAACTTATTCTATTTATCATCAAATTACCTCCATCCGTAACATATTCACTTGTTAACTGAATAGCAGCACCAAATCCACCTAGCTTTACAGGAGCAGAGTTTTCTTTTGTTGATAATAATATACAATGAGGTTTAATATCTCTATGTATAATGTCGTTGTCATGGCAATAACGTACAGCATCAAATATCTGTTTCATATAATGACTGGCCATATAAAAAATTTAAAATTAATTTTTCTGTCAAAAAAATTTATTTATCTAAAACAATTGCTTAAAAAAATCATGTTAAAATAAGAAAATATTAAAATTAAAAAATAATTGTTAAATTCATTAGAAATTCAATAATTTCATTTATCCTATTCATATATCCTATCACATTAATTTGGCATTGACAACATTCATGTTTATCATCATTGCCAAATTAATATCACATGAAATATTCTGTTAAGTTAATAAGTAAAAAAAACTAGTTTGTAATTTATAGAAATGTAATAAATTAACAAACAACTGATGACTGGCATAATAATTCAAAATCAGGGCTGAGAAGTTGATGTTAGAGTCCGTGTTGACAAAAATATTTGCCAAATCTGACTCCTCAACTAACTATTTCATAATTATTTTTACTTTCCCAGTTATTATATAACATAACTTGAAGAAAGTATGGTAATCAGTCAAATTTTAACACCCTCTGAATTTTTTGACATTTTCATACTTCATGAGCCCAAAATTTAAAAATCTCCAGTGAGTGTGTGAGGATTATGTCTATTTTGCATTACTGTATACACTCATGTAAAGGTCAAATTTTTTAGATCATTTTTTAAGATCAAATTTATGGGGTCAACTATTACATGGACACTACTTTTGAAGGGCTGAAATTCAAGCTAGAATCCAAAATACTGAATCAGCAGCAGAAAGCCCAACTGATCTTTATACAAAACCACAATGAATTACAGTAATATTACAGATTCAGCACTCCTATAGAAAATGGTCCTCAACTTAGGGACCCCATTTTCTATAGAAAAGCAAACTTTTAAAACTTTTTTTTTATCAATGTTAAAATAAAATAATCAAGTGATTTCTTTACAAGATGCAGCTATTCATTTTTTAATAACACAGGGTATTCTTTCAGCTAGGAAGCAATGTAGTAATTTATCATGCCAAGGGGATCAAAGTACGACTTTAAAAATAAATTTAAATTCTAATCAATTTCCATATTTCAGGTGTGATGGTAAAAGTTGCAGAAAAAAAACTTACAGAAAAGTCCATTTTCTGTAAGTTTTTTTAAAATATGAAACTAGAATTACATGAATTTTTATATTTAATTTTCATATTTGTTCTCAATGAAAAATATTCTGGCAAATGTTGACGTGTTATCAGTGAAATACTAGGGTTGACTTTTACATGGAGTCTATTAAAAATTCCAGATTTTTTGGCCAAAAATATGGGGTTAACTTTTACATGGGATCAACTATTATTTGAGTATATACAGTATATCTCAGGACTGAATAAACTTAAAATTTTGAAACTTGATTAGGTTATTTCTATATATGAGGCATTAAAACTTTTTGTACTTTTTTTGTCATTTAATAAAGTAAAAAACCATAGCTACAATGCTCTATTATTAGACCTCCAATGCCTTGTTAATTAGTAAAGCAGCCTAATAAATATGTTGGTGATGAATAATACAGGATGTACATAAAAGAATATAGTAGTTTGAATTTATTATAGTATCACTTACATTACGTATACAAAGTTTATTATAGGCTAGAAGGAAAGAGCTAAAAAAACAGTTTTAGTTGTATATTGTCACTGACCACTGGATTGGTCACTATGGACCCAATGACAGGGCTTATCTTATGTGGCCTCCAAGATCACCTGATCTCACCCTCTGCGATTTTTTCTTTGGGATTTTGTAAAGGACAGAGTCTATGTGCCCCCACTGCCTACTAACCTGCCTGAGTTGAGACACAGGATTGAAGCAGCTGTTGCTACCATCACTCAAGAAATGTTAGTTAAGGTATGGAAGAAATTAGCCTACAGGTTAGATGTGTGTCGCATGACAAACGGAGCTCACATTGAACACTTATAAGATAAACTGGAGATGTTACTCTTTCTTTTCACATTTGGTTTGTTATTCCTTGTTAATTTTAAAGTGCAATTAAACACCTTTAAAATTGCTATATTCTTTTATGTACACCCTGTATATATTAATACTAAGGAACTGGAGTCAGATAAAATGTCAACTCTCCAGCACTGTTCAACATTTTTGAAAAATTAAAATAAAAAAAAAATTAGCAAATTCTGGCAAGCTTAGCAAAATACAAATGTTTAATTATTTGCATTTTTAATACAGTTTATTACTTTACTAAAATAAGTAGATATATCTGAACAAAAAAAGCTAACTTTTTAACTTTTCTCACAATTACAAAAACAATCCTATAAAATCGTATTTACTCGCATATAATACAATCTTGCATATAAAACGAGGTGTATATAGGCATGAGAATGAATTAATGGGCTCCCATATGATTTAGAATTTCAATTTGAAATTTAATTCAAAAGCTTTGCTTTTCCTATTACTATTAATCTTTACGCCTGACAATACACAAGTGAGATTCAAACAACCCAGATAAAATACTTATGTTTTTTAAACACAAGAGGGTGAGCACCTGGTAAAAAATGCAAATACATGGTTCACAAAAATTACTGCAAAAACAGAAAGAATCCTTCATGCGCGCATATAGGACAGCCTAGGTTTTTGAAACAGTGAAAAACTAATAAAACCCTCGTCTTATGAGTGAGTAAATATGGTAAATGTCTCATTGTGAATTAATTATGAAATTTTAAAATAATCGCAGTTTCAATATATAATATGAAATATTTAGAAATATCATAGAAAATGACTTCAACAGTTTATTCTTCTAGTGAAAAACTTAAATCATTACTTTTCATAAATAATTAACCCCATTTCATTTTATAACTATCAATGAAAAAATGTTAAAATGTGAGAATAATTCACTAACCAGATTAATTATTGAAATCATTCTAAATTTTAATCATTATTCTAACAAATTTTATAAACACAAAACTGAGAGCAGATATCATTTTAAAAAACATAACTTCACACTACTTCAGAATAATTTAAAATTACAAAATTACATAAATGATCAGTAAGATTAAATAAATACTGTTTTTTAATATTGATATTTAAGAGAAAAATTTACCAAACTATTTGAATGTACTCAATTTAATTCTATAAAAATAAAATTAAATTGAATGTTTTCATTGTAAATAAAAATACTTGTCAAAAAATTACAAATACTTCACAAAATTTAGATATTAAAGTGATAATTTCAAATTTCTGCACATTATAAATAACAATGAATAACTATAAAATAGAATTTCAATAACCAATAATTATAAAAGGCATTGCATCATGCAAATTATCACAGTTGATAATTTGGATTATTTCTCAGATAAATTTAAATCATAAAACAGGAAATTAATGTTTTAACATTTCTTCATAAGAAATGAGTGCTTGTCAAGAATAAGTAATTCAGTCAAATTATTTGTTTTTTAAAAAGAAATAATATTTTTATATTAATGTATTCCAATACAAAATTTTCTACAAAGTAAAAAAATTTTATATTGAACACATTCAATGGCAATATAAATATAATACATACCAAACCTTTCTAATAAATTTAATTATTTTCCCGATTCATTAACAATGTAAAAAAATGAACTGAGGTTTAAGTATATAATATAATCATTCCTCCAAACTGCAAATGGAAATTTTAATTTATTCATTTAATAAGTGTATAAGAACTTATTAAATGTTCTTTTTAATAAGTGTATAAGAACTGCTTCCAAATTTGAATCTTATTCTGTTCAAAAAAATTTGACAAGGGAGGGTTATGACGTGGTTCTTGGAGATTTCAGTAATACTGTTTGTGTGATACACCTTGTGTAAATATTTATTAAGCAATGGGAAAAAATTTCTCAAACGTTTTCAAGAAAATGGAACTTAAAAAATTTTATGAAGACTTTATCAAAGCCTTTGTGGTTGGCTTGGCACTGTGTCTTTACTCTTACTGTAATTGCAAAATCACAGGTTTACATATTGATGAATAGAGACTTTTTCAAATTAATGCAATTTTTACATAAAATAATTGTAAATTACATAATCTTATACATGGTGTCTATTTAACAGATAAAAATGCCATTTAATAGAAATGCTAAAAATAAATTTTTATAAAATGCATTTTTTTCATAAACAATAAAAATGTATAAACTCGTGTAATTTACAATTATTTTATGTAAAAATCATTTTAATTTGAAAACAAAAGTCCATTCATTAAGATGTGAACTAGTGATCTACCAAATACGAGTAATGGCACAATGCCAATAAACCATATAGTCTTCAATGAAAATTCCACACAATTTTTTGTTGCTCAGAATGTTTTTAAGTTCTATTTTCTTGAAAGCATTACAGAAGTTTTTCTCACTGTTCAATAAATATTTCCACAAAGACCTATCACACAAACAGTATTACTGAAATCTCCAAAACTAGTCAATATATCATTAAAGTGAGGTTGTAATTACATTATTAATTCTGGTCTCATTTAACAGAAATAGAGTAAAATACTTAAATACTTTTACATATCTGGATGATAAATGTTTTCAGAATTCAATTTCAGCATCAGATTCATCTCAAAATACAAAAGAGAATATAATATAAACTGATTTTTATTTTAGGAATTAAATACTATATTATTTCTAACAATAATTTAATTATAATTCTGATAAAATTATTGTAGTAGTAACAACAGATTAAGTCTAAAATTTATTTTAAAAACAACCTAAGAAAATAATACATTTTAAACTCACCTGGCAACAGATTCACTGTAAACAAAACCTGCAGTTGCTCGTTTTACAATTTCAAAGCATAAATCAGCACCTTCCATACTAAAAATAATCAAATAATATATTAATTTAGAGTAACATTAATTAAGAAAAACAAAAAAATAATTCTTAAGTTTAAAGAAATAAAAATGACAATGATAAAGAATAATTTTTTACTATTTTAAAATATACTTTTATTTACTTTTATTTAAAAACAAATTTTTAAATGAAAATATTTATGCTGTATTAATACTTTCAATAAATAATTTTTTTGGAGGAAATTAAAACAAGACAAAAATATAATAAATTCTAATTGAACAGATTGAACAAATTTTTAAAAATTTGTTAACTTTTAAAAAATGGACATCACTGGAATTTTTCTAAACATTTTTGTTAAAGCATCTCATATGATTGTGAAATGATTTATTTATTGAGAGAATTATTATTGACATAATACATATCAATCATGTTTTTCATATATATAAACACATTAGGGGGTTTTGCCCCATGGCTACAGTATCCAGTCCTAGTCACTTGCCCACTCACATTTGTCACTTTTTCCCAGTACAGAATATTCATAACAAAAATTTCAATAGGAACACCATCTGTTTGTATGAATAGATGATTCTGTAACAAATAACATTCACTTGGAAATCCATCTCCACACTCATTAATTGGAAAAACACAGTTTTTATTCAAATTCTATAAAAAAACTCCTAGATTTTCTCCATAAAAACTGAACATAGAACAACCTTAGAATTCTAGAGCAAAACTGTTTTTTGAATCAGTTAAACATCACAATTTTTCCAATGTCCTACAGAAAAATATTCCAATTCCATAGTTACATGGTTTGCTTAACTGTCTGATCTCAAGGACTTTGCCTATTTATTCCCAATATAGACTATAACAGAACTTTTCTTGACACTAATCCCACATAGGACCACTAACCCCCCTCAGCCCAACTTCCACTTGCTTCACTTCTCAACCTCCCACATGGAGGATGGACATACACTCCCACCCCATTTGCTTCCCTCTCCCCTCAACTTCACTCAACTACTTCAATCAACTTACCTTCCTCGCTGTGCTTCTTTGCTGAACCATACCTCCTTGTGCCACCATTTCTATTTTTTGTTTTTTCATGATGGAAAAAGTGTCCCACAATTTTAAGCTAAGTATTTTATATATATAAAGATATTCATTGAAAATGAATGAACTTACTATTCAAATACCATATATAGCATTCCTTCAGAACTATAAGTTTCTAGTAATTCAACAATATGGGGATGTTTTAACATATGACATATGGTTGCTTCTCTCTTTAAATCTGTAAAAATAAAATATAATTTATATTATAAATTCTTAAAGTTTAAAATACAAGACGTGTTCAAAAAATTCTAGGAATGGGCAAAAAAAAAATTAAAATATGTTATTTAATAATATCTTTATATCATATTTTTCTAAATAATCATTATAAGCTTAAATACACCTTAACAATTTCTCCAATTCAGAAAACATTTAGAAAAAATCAGATTCTTTTGGAAATTGAAAAATTTTCTTTGATTTGAGTTCTGGCACAAACTGTTTTCTTTTTAAAGTTGAAACTGCCATATTTCCATAATCACACTATTTTCTGATCCCAATAACTTTTTTCTTTACTCAAAGTTGAAAAAAACTTTAGAAAGGAAACTGGTAATAATACATTTCATTTCTATTATACAACAAACATTTCAAATAACTCAAAAATATGATCTGGCAGTTAAGTTCTATAACTAAGTTATATCTAATACAATTTATAAAAGCACATGAGAACAAGATTCATTAATTATCTGTCATCAGTACTGAATGTTTTTTCTACAAGCTCATTTATGCACAAGTACATCAAAGATTTTTGTATTATAAAAGCATTTTCACATTAGAAATATACTGTCTTTCAGCATTAAATTTATTTACTTGAAGAACTGAAAAATTAAATTTTTTTCATTGTCATTGTAGTAACAAAGCAGAGAGAAAATGTTTATCCAATTTGTAACCAAATTAAAAGTTTTTTAAACATTTAGTTTTCACTTTTATATGTACAATAATATATAAATGTTAAATTAGAATACATTTTATAAAACTTTCTTAAACACACTTGACACCTTTATAATTATACTGAAATTAGGATTCTTGTAAAGCAACACTTGGTTATAATGACAAAAACTTGCTAGTCCATTCAATTACATTATAACTGAGTTCAATTATATTTGGTATTTATTTGCTATCAATCATTTTCTGCCAATGAGTTCAAAATCAACAGTTAGTTACTTTATATTGTAGTCAGATATGTTATGGATAAGCTATAATTATTATTATAACATATTTTTATATTAATACTAGCAAATGAGCATGGCATTGCTCAGACAAAAGTAACAATAGCAAAGATTAAAATTATTAGATTATAGCCGATCTTACACGTTTTCACTGAGTGCAAGAATTAGGTCCCTCCTCTTCCAAGACTAATTAGAAAATTTTTAGATATCTGCTTACCATACCGGGATAATGATAATTAAAACTCACTGCAACCACTAACCAGTGCATAGTACCACTAAGTGATGAATAATAAACGTTTTCATAACTCTTTCTGAGTTCTTCAGGTTTACTAAATTCAAAAAATAAGCTGGATCTTCCAGAATCATTCATAAATATAAATTCAAACATAAAATCAAACATTAAGACAGAGTTTGAATAAAGCAAACTTATGCGCATGTGCTCCTCGTGTCAACTTTATATACAATGGAACACTAAATATCGTTGAGAATTTTTAGAAGGGTCTAAAAATATGTTCAATTTCCCACATAAATGCAAGAAAGGCATCTAAAATAGTACTGTAGAAGCCAACTTCTTTGGAGTAATTCTTAACCCTCTCCCTCATGGTGGAAATTTCAAAAAATCCCTTCTTAATGAGCATTCTCATGGCATACCCTATTAAAATGCAATGAAAAATGCAAAAAAAACCACATCTAAAATAGCATAAGAGGAGCTGAGTTCTTCATGATAATGTGAGGACCCAACCGAGGTCCAAAATCATGTAAATCGCAGTATTCTTATGATTAAATAATAACGATAAATTAAATATGAGGGGGAGAGGAAAATCCCATAATTTAAACAACGTGGCACAAAATGTACACGAGTCCCGGATGATTCCAACACGTGTTAAACAAACTGTCAATGTCAAAATGAAAAGTTATAAGTCAGACACAAGTGATCATAAACAGGTAGAACTTTGACCCTAGCACTCATAAACAATCAATCTAGGGAAACAATTTCAGAAAAGAGAGAGAGATTTAAGAGAGATAAATCATTGCATATGATCGTTTGAGTACCCAGATGACAGAAATCGCGAGTAACGGAGCTAAATTATAAGTGCGAGTCTTGCAATTTTGTCAACAATCCCCAAGAACAATCGACAGAACGGCGTCGAGCAGACACCTGGAATCGGACTATTCCTGTGACCCGAGTCGGTCTCAGTTTTCCCCAAAAGAAAAGAGACCAATCAGGAAGTGAGGAAGGGGACGAGGGGGCCAATCAGAAGTCCGAATAGTGGGAGAAAAAACTATAAAAATCCAAAATTCAAGGTTGGAGGGAGGCTCTCCTCCGTATTCCATGAAAGGTTGTGACTTATATTGTGGTGTGTCGTCGCCAAGAACTTTGGACTTAGCCACTTCCTCCTTCCGATCATCTGCCATGCTAAGCGACCTCAGCTCGTCCGTCCCGGGCCAGACAGATGCCAAAGTTCTCGCCTCTCCGAATCTTCAACGAGAAGAACCTAGTGAAGGACTGTTGATTGTCAATGTAAGCATAAATGTTAACAAATAAACAGCTTTCTTGTGTAAAACACTTGTCATCATTTATCTCCTCCGTCACAGCCCACATACAACCTTCCCTTAGGTTCATCCTGACACGAGATTAATGGATCCCACCCAGGAGACGGCAACCTTACACAGGTGCCGTGGAGTGGGTTTCAAGTCCCCTATCTCCACCGGGTCGGCTACTTTACAATAAGCCTTAATCCTGTCTCTCTCCCCATGGGGGGATTCGAAAAATCCTTTCTTAGTGTATGTTCTCATGATATATCCTAACTGTGTACCAAATTTCAACTCCTAACCGTTTGGGCTCTGCACTTATTATTATCATCATCATCAACCATCTTGATTATATTATATAATAAAAATCATTTTAAAATATCATACAATTTAAAAATATCTTACCTTCTGTACTAAGACCAGGACATGATGTAAATTTTGCTACATCAACAATTTTTACAGCAAATTGCAATCTTGTAATTCTGTGTGTGCAACGACGTACTACACTAAAAGGTCCCCTAGAGAAATATAACATTAATTATTAAATGGCATATTAAGTTGTTCTATGACCTATAGTAAATTTATTAATAACAAATATAATACTCCAAAATTCAACTTATTTCAATTTGCATATTTATGAAATATTCAATTTCCTACATTTAGAATAAACTACTTAAAAATAAAAAGATTAAATATTAAATGTGTTGGGAATTTTTAATTTGTTCAAAAGAATAAAAAAATTTAAATTTTATTAATTTTCTTGAAATTTAGACAAAAAATTTAAAATTAGATTATTATTAGAAAATATTTAAATTAAATATAATTTTTTATTCTAGATATTTTATTAATTCATATCTAAAATCTAAGTATGCTGTTAAAATATCTTCATCATTCATATAAATTTATTTTTCAAAATACAATGAAACCTCCATTAACAAACACTCCTGAATAGCAAACAGAGCAAAATATCCAAATTTTTGTTTCAAATTCAATAACTTTCCTTGACCAACTTTGTACAAATTCCCTGACCCTCATGTCCCTTACAGTGTAACATGTTGACAAAATAAAATAGCATCTAATTTACTATGCAAATATGCTATGGCTTCTTTGACTTTTTAATGGGTTATTTTTTCTAATTAACAGCTACATAATTTTTATAATTGATGAATAATTAAAATTAAAAATAAAATGTTTTATTAAATTAAAATAGTTTATCCTGTTATCAATCCACAACCATAAATCCATGTGGCTTTGAAAAAAAAATAAAATGCCATTATTTATTCTTCATTAATTTATTTTGTACAATAATAAATTCCATAAATTCCATAATAAAAAAAAAAAAATTTATGTGCTTTAAACATTTTTCTAGTGATATTGCGACTTCAATATTTGTGGCAGACAGACGTAAAGTCAAATAAACTGTATACTGTACTGTATACAAAACACAATACAGTACAATCCTGTATAATACAGGATTGTACTGTATCCTGTATAATCCATGTACAAAAGTATATATTTATTAAATTTATCTTTTAATAAACTTCCTGAACTTTATAATATACAGTGGTACCTCGGTATATGTCTGCTTTAGAATATGTCCAATTCGGAATATGTCCTGTTTGGACGAAACAAATTTTGCTCGATGTACGACTTTTGTTCAGTATATGACTTAATTCAATTATACATGCCATCAATGAACAAGTAGCACTATCGGTTTACTAGACCAGACTAGACGTTTGCGGTGCTACAGTTTATAACTTTGTTAAATTTCTTCTGATTTTAATTTGTAAGTACAATTTTATAATTTTTATTAATCATGAATTGCAAAAAGACAAATGAAAAGCAACAGAAAACTAATAAAATGACTAGGATCACAATGGAACTGATAAAAGAAATTGTTGAGAAATATGAAGGTGGCATGCGTGTTCGAGATTTTAACTGTTGCATACCGTATTATGAGAACGACGATATCGACAATCATGAAAAATAAAGACATTATTAAATCTGCTAACGTTGCGAAAGGAGTTAAATCAATTTCTAAACAGAGATCAAAGACATTAGATCATGTTGAGAAATTACTTTTGCTTTAGATAACTGAAAAACAATGTGCTGGTGACAGCGTATCAGAAGCAATTATTTGTGAGAGAGCTAAAAAGATACATGCTGATCTCATGAAAAATCAAACAGGAACTAGCCAGGAAAGCAGTGTTTAAAGCCAGCCATATTTTTTTTTACATTACTTCTTATGGGAAAGGTTGGTTTGGTATACGTCCTATTCAGTATAAGTCCAAACATCAGGAACAGATTAAGGTTGTATATAGAGGATTTGATCCTGGGATCTCGAAAATCGGGATCCCGGGATCCCAACTACTTTTCAGTCCCAAAATTTTCGGGATTAAGTTTTCCTAATCCCGAGATTTTCGGGATTGACATCATTTTAAACAAGTTGCAAAATAGACTGCATGAAGCGAAACGTTCAGTGCCAGTGCTTTTACAGAATTGCTTGCCTATCATTTTAATATAAAATATGAGAAATTTTATTCCAAGCAAGCAGCAGAAATTAACCTAGCGGGCTTGCGATGCTTGCTTGGAATAAAACTTCTTGTATTTTGAACTAAAATGATAGGCAAGCAGTTCTCACTGGGTTACTTGGTAATATACTTCATTTTTGTATTTTTGAATTTTCGCGGGCGCCAATCGATTTTCTGGCGCAGTCGAGAGCACTACTCAGTGCGTTTTACCTGTCAATGTGTCAGCCATCTTGTTTTGCCAGTGTGGTTAATATAGACCCGACGCCTCTCGCTTAGGGGGGTCGACCTTAGGTGAAAAGGTTACGACCCCCGCCTTGCCCGTGATCTGTCAGGATGATGCGAGAAAGTCTTTTTACGTTTGGGAGTAGTGGTTTGCTGGATGCTGAGAGACTCACACAGAGACCGAATTTACAAAATTAACGTGTTTATTTTTAGAAAGGCATGCTTACAATGATCGAAACAATCGGGATTGTAGCCTTTACTCCTACAATCCCGATCTGTGTCGACCGGACTGTTTTCTTCCAACCTCCCCGTGTCCTCGAAGCTATAACTAGAACGGGCTTATAAGTATTTACTAACGATTCCTCCAACTTCCATCAAACCTAAACGCGTTTTCTCAGCAGCTGCATATATGTGCAACAAATTGAGAAGCAGACTTGGTGATGAGACACAGGATGCGTTGTTATTTCTCAGATCATATTTTCGCAATTCAAATTAGAATGTTCCTATTAGATTAGTTTTCTTTATATTTAAGAAAAATGTGACTGATTAATATTATTTTTAAATACTTTTTGCTAAGAAACTTACTTTACTACCTACTTACTAGGTTGTTATATGAAAGTAGTCTATTTAGTCGATGTTAAGAGAGATTTTTGTTAATTTTCAACGTTTATTTGCATAGTTTGTTACATAAAGGTTTTTTCAATTTATGTGAGTTTAAAGAGATCTCAGTGATGCTTAAAAAAGAATAAATTTAACATGAAGACTGAGTGATTTTAAGTCTGGTTAGTCTGACTCTGAGTCTGATTAGTTAGAGTGATTAAATTAGCTAGGTGTATACTGTAAAATATGTTGATTTTTGTCTAAATTTTGATTTGTTGATTTCTGTAAGATTTTCTTATTTTTTATTAACCCTCAATACCGAAATAATCCCGGGATCCCGGGATTGACTAAGTATAATCCCGAAATCCCGGAATTAGAAATAAGGACCGGGATCGAATTCCCTAGTTGTATACCAAGGTTCCACTATATTAATATGCTGGTGAAAAAATCAAATTATTTTGTTACATAATCAAAATTATTAAAATTAAAAAATGATAAATAATTCTGTGTTTAGCATCCTTGCAATCCAAACAATAATTCTGGTATGTGAATACCAGAATTATTGTGCTATACCAGCTTTACCAGCTTTTTGTGATACTTAACATTAAATGTAAGATTGTAAAAGTTACTGTGTGTGAATTACCTTGTGTAAATTAACATTTGTGAATTTTTTACAATACATAATTGGAATTTAATGAAGAAAAAACCTGTATGTATATTTTTATAGCAATCTTTGTACAACTTATTTGTTACGAGGTTTATAATCATATTGTTATTGTTATTGTATATTGTTATTTGTAGAAATGTTTAATTATATTGCGGATCTAAGCCTAAAATTGATGAATAGAATAATGTTCAAAGAATATTAAACCAAAAAAAGAAAAGTCTGTATGTATATTTTATAAGGGGAAAAAAACCCTTTTCCTTTTTTTAGAAATATTTACCACTTAGTTTTTATATTTGTTTTGTTTTATAGCGATATTTTCATCATATTACATTTTACGCCTTGTACTGTTGTTTTGAGTAAAGTAAGTACACAGAAAAAACCTGTACGTATAATTTTCTGAGAACTTTACAAGTTTTTTAAACTACTTATGTCACTAAATTTTGTTGTTGTTGTTTTTTTTTTTGTGATTGTATTAATTATAGCAATTGTTATGTCATACTGCTATTCATACCACGAAAGACAATATAACGTGATAAATGAAGATACCATATCAATGTAACAATCCAACTGGGAAAAAAAGAAATGTGTAAAAAACCCTTAAAGGTATTAGTAATGTGTTTATGTTGTGTTACTTGGCACCTAAATACTTTGTTAGTTTTTTAATCTGTATATTTTTTGTCAACTTAATTTCTATAATTGTAATTTATAGAACACTGAAGAGGAACTGGAAATGTGAAATCAGTTCGAAATGCATATGTAAAAATATAATAAAAGAATTCATTAACCTGATGCTGTAAGATAGTCTACCGAAAGGATTAAAGAGACAACCATTCACAAACGAATATACAGCTATAACCAGTAAATTCAGTAAATTCAATAATTCTGGTAGACGATCAAACAGAAATTAGTTAGAAAAACGTTACAGTTTATTTAAAACGCTTATTTTAATTCAGATGCATTTCGGGTTGGCTTGTATTCCCAACCCCTCTTCAGTGCTGTTAAAATTACAAAAAACAAGGTGAGTTTCATGACATTGGTAAGTATGACGTAAAAAAAAAGGAATAAACAATAACATAAAAAAACTTACATTTCATATAATGGTACAGCATAGAAGTTTTTTTATGTTATTGTTTATTCCTCTTTTTTTCACGTCATACTTACCAATGTCATGAAACTCACCTTGTTTTTTGTAATTTTAACAGCACTGAAGAGGGGTTGGGAATACAAGCCAACCTGAAATGCATCTGAATTAAAAAAAGGTGTTTTAAATAATTGCTATTTGATCATCTACCAAAGTTATTGTTTGAATTGCAAGGACGCTACACACAGAATTTGAAGATAGCAACCATACCTTCTACATGATAAATAATGTTAATTTAAATGATATTATTTATCTTTTTTTTTTTTATCAGTTCATTAACATCTGCCCTCAGACAGAGTGTAAATGGTAATTGTGAGAAATTGGTAGCATGTCAAAATATTTCAAAAAAATTTCAAT